TCTAAAAGACTTTCTGGGATGTTTTTTTTTTTTGTTACTGACTGGAAATTAATTAATGTTAATTAATAGTTATTAATTAAGTCATAACCTCCTTAAAATCATTAATGAGCAGTTACAACACACATAAAGCTCAGATCTTGCTGGTTGCTTATCTTACTTTGTGTTCTCCATTAGCCAGCATTAAACCTGTCAGCCTTATCAGATGTTCATAGGTCACTTTTGCCCTTTTATTAATGTGTTATAACTATGTATTAATGATTTTTAAGGTGATTTTTATGACCTAATTAATAACTATTAATAAACTAATGCTAAACAATTCATACGCTCTTTATGAGGTTAGTCTTACTGTAATGGGGTATCATAATGTTAACATCCAATTCTGTTATTTTATGAAATAGGGAAAAATTTGTTTTCTCCATGATATGGGCTATTTAATAATATTCAATGTCCTACTTATTCTTTTTGCACACTCTTAAAAATAAAAGGTCCCAAGTGTTGTATGGAGTAATACTATAGAAGCAGCATGCTCAAAAAAAGGTCAATGGGTGGTTCTTTAAAGGAATACTCCAGCATTTTTCAACCTAATTTTTATCTGCCGCTTCTGTAATATATTGCCAGTTACCACAAGCAATAATTTTGATGAGTTTCTCTGTACTTAAAAACATCAGAAACCTGTTGACTCAAAACATACTTATAATAAAAGCTAATGGGCAGCTTTCTATTATATCGTAATGTGTTTTGAGTTAATAGGTTTAGTGTTCTTTTTCTAGTGCTGGAGTATTTCTCTAAAGAACTGCTCACTGAAAGGTTCTTTAGAGAAGCAGACATAACTGTTGTTCTTGGCGTTACTCCAAAGAACCCATTTGTCTTCTTAATTTTTAAGAAAGTATGTGTAGTTTTTAGAAGGAAAAAACAAATTCTCTGGCTCTTCACTCCAAAAGAATTCTTATTTTGCACTTTAATTAAGAGGAATGTATATTTTTAAGAGGAATTCTACTGCTTATACAAAATCTCTACATAATCCCAGGTGTCATTTACAGTCTGAGGAAGTGAAACGTTCTGTTCTAGAGAAACTTACTGTCTCAGATTTCTTTGGATTGGTGGTGCTCAAATAAATGCACATGACCAACAAACACTCGCTATTTCTCATTAGTCATGATCATATTATGCTTACTTCATCGCACACCCTCATGATGTCTTTTATTATCTATTACTTTTATTATTCATGTTTATTACCTGATACTGTTTGATATTCCAAGTAATCTCATGTGATAGAACAATTTCACAACTGATAATCATGCATCATTATCCAAACTCGACCAGAAAGCTTTGCTCAGTAAGGCGGACAGTTTTAAAGCTGAGGTTGCAAAGTTGTAATGAAGAGTGAGAGGACAGTATTGTCCTACTTACTGAGCTCTAACTGGTGGTTCGGCTGCAAACAGAGCTTCTTCTGTCTCTTTCTCCAAACGTGAACTCACTTCCCAGCCTGCTTATGAAGCCAAGCCTTTATTACATGTACACAGCACACAGGACCACTTGCATGTCCGGATATGTGATATATCAGCTAAATTGCTGCAGTGTTTATGTTTGTGTTCATTCCATACATGTCTGGCTTTTGGTTAAACTTAATTCAGTACTGATTAAAAAGCAGACAGCACTTTCTTTAACCTCTTAAACCCTAAAGGCCTGTATGTGGGCCCACACTTCAATAACACAACAACATAACCTTCATTTGTGTCATTTATACACATATTTTCAGGCTCTATATGATTTTTGATTCCTGGGTCAAAATCTGAATCAGTTTAGGAACTTCAGGTGTTAAAAATATTTTGCTTCTACAGATCTCTAAGTACAGTTTAAACAGGTTCAGATAGAACATCGTATTTGTCATACTCTGATATTCTCATAGCAACATTATCTGCAAATTGTGTCAAAAATCCAACAGATATTTCTCAAGATTTGACTTTAAGACTGTTTTTGGACCATTAAAGCAAATTGTAGTGGTTGTAATAGCACCATTTTGAAGCAAATAATCAACTCACTGCAAATGCTAACCAGGCTAAAGTACAGTCTCCACAAGGCGGAGTTAGTTTTAACATAGTCAACAAATTCAGAAGTGCTCATGGTAAACAGTATTTTATGCACAGATTCATCCAAACATACTATTGATATCACTGATCATATTTATTTGGATGCATGTATTTTTGTGTATTCAAGTTGAAAAGCTTGTTTGGTTCAAACAACATAGAACCACATTGAATTAATTGTTTTGCATTGAGTAGACTTTTTAGCGGCTGTTACAACTAGCCCTATTATAATTGCCCTCCTGCCCACCCCCCAAATGGTATGTTCAAATGACTAAATTGCTCACAAATGGTAGGTGTTTGAAACAAAGTTTATGTTTTCTTTTGTAGCAGAGATGTGTAAGTTGCTTATGCACTGTTAGAAATAAAGGTTCTGTGCAGGTACGTTTTTCATTTATTAAGGTACAAACAACGTAAATGTTCCCTCAAAGGTACAACAAAGGTTTTAAGGTCCAATTGTGTATCTTAAATAAGTTTTTCCCAGGTGATTAATACATATTTGTAAAAAAAAAAGCCTGGAGAAGAGACGGGGTGTGTGGAGTCAATACAACTTATAAAATATAATTTCAATGGATTATGGTACAATTATGTTCCCTGACAAAAGGTACTGAGATGTACTCTTGAGGGTACCACCCCAGTGACAAGAGGGGTAGGTTGAGTGTTAGGTTGGGCCACCTTCTTCTCTAATACACAAATTGGTTTGGCTTGGTTAAATAAAAGTTCTCAAAAAAACTTTACAAAAAACCTATATGAAAATAAGCCCCAAAAATCACAACCCCAAAAATGGTGGTTGAAAAACTGAAAAAAGCCAGTCATTTGACTGCATTGAGTGCATAACATAAGCCACTCCTCTTCCAGCTCACTATACTCTGATAGGATCCAACAAGATGCCTAGTTTAGATCACGGACAGTAGTTTCAATGAACAATGGCAAATGAGAGACCCTCAGATGAGGCCGAGGTTACTGTTCTAAACATAGGGGTGGGTGATATGACAAATATCTTAAAGGCAAAAACAAAACACAACAATACTTTGACACAGAGACACTGCATTTGTGGTGCCACATTTAAAAACTGCCATCAAAAGCTCTGTTGATTTTTATTCAACATTTTACATACTGTCTTAAATCCAATTAAACAGGACAAATGAAGCTGTTTTTGTGATGAAACATGCAGCTGGTTACTCTTTTTTAAATAATAACGATATCCACACATGCTCGGAGAAGCATACGGTTTATCACAAAAACAAAATTTATCACGAGAACGTGAAAATATCATTTTGCGCAGCTAAATCTTAACCTTAGTATATTTTTCTATTTTAAACATTGTATCGAAAACCATTACACCCTTCTTGAATAGTAAGCCTAGAATTTAAGGGGTTAAATCCCACTCAGAAGTGCATCCTGTAATCACCTAAACTAGTGTTTCTCAGTCCGGTTTCCGGAGTAGCTCTGATTTGTAGTCTACGCTTTTGCCTGCTCTAACACACACAGTTCAACTCAGAAAGACCCTGTTAATGAGCTTGTTAATCAGATGTGTTTCAGCCAAATCAGATGATGAACAACAGTTTGATAAGACTGAGGACTGTCTAAAGAACATGACAGATTCAGACAGAATAGAGATGTTTTACATGGTCCACTGGCTACAAAACTGGTGATCTACCAGATCGTTCATCTGTCTTTTTCTGATTTTTAACATGAGCTGTTATCTTCTCTTACAGATCTTTTCCTGTTTGACCTGAGTGCCACTGTTAAGCACTCTCGAGGGCGTCACAACTGTGGGGAGTGCTGAAAAAAACTTAAGAGGAAAAAACAAAAAAGCTTTGGTGTACCGTTTTAATTGGGAGGAAGAGGGGCCGAGAAAGACTGCATTTGCACAAGGCCCAGAAATTTGGAACACCCCTGATTTCTTTTGTTAATGTGTCCCATTTGTATTAAAGGGGAGCTCAGGGGAGAATAGAGGTCTTCTCTGTTATGCTTACCATGTTCTTGTAAAACTGAACAGAAAAATCACTTTTCAGCTTTATAAGATGTAAAAGTAGTTTTTTCTTCTTCCACAAATAACATGAAGAGCAAAATGAATGATGAGACTGAATAAAAGTACTAGATAAAAGGCTAGCAAGATTAAAACTAGAAAACCCTCTCCTCTCAACATTTCAACAAACTTGCATAAAACCAGCCTTGCACAGAAAGGCAAAAAGGGTTAATTAAGACCAAAAATGACAGACCAGCAGGATAAAACTAAAATAGCTGTTATGATGGTGACTTAGACTGATTCACAGACATAACAAAGACTCATTCTTGCAACTAAGCACACTGTTATAGGTTAAGTTCAGTCAACAAAGATGATGTCCATGTGGCGTCCAAAACAGTCGCTTTCAGGCAAGTCCAAGGCCAAGGCCTCAAATGCTTTTGAATAATCTCCAAATCACTTTCCCCTCAGGCCACGCCTTCTCCAGGAACAACCACCCTGTAAACACCATAATGTTCAGAAAGCAGAAGTAATGGAGATGAAACAGAGCACAAACCTATGATGGCCTCAAAGAAGCAGAAAGACTAAAGAATTATATACTTAAGTGTTCAAAAAAAGTACAGACCCATGTGCAAAGATATAAGGACTAACATAATGATCATACTTTATGACTATGATTATATGGATTAAAGCAATTGGCACAGTGGCCTGCATGGATAATCACAAAAAGGACATGTGAGAATCAGAGATTTGGGGGGAGGCTGGAGAGTTAGACTTCCATCCATTACAAACCTAAAATATGAAGATCACAGCCCTAAAAGTTAGAATAGTTGTGTGTTCCTTAGTTCTTCAATTAATATCCAGTACAGCTGTATTTGATGGCAGTGCTCCCCCTAGCGGTGGCACATTTCAGGCGTGGGCGTGGTCTGACTCCATGGCAACCACAAGCGCTCACTGGGCTCATCTGAATAGCTCTGTTAGCCAAACCTGGACAAATCTCGAAACACTTTCAGTTTTCAAACCACTAACTTTAATTATATTGAATTCATGTAGCCTACAGAACTCAGATCATGTAGATTATTCAACAAACCCGCACAAAAAAGCTGAAAGATGACCGAGAGAAAGTGTCCCGCAGGACTCGGAGAGGGCGCTCCTCTGCATCCCTGGTGAGTAACGTACACTGGAGCCTGGCTTCACTAACACAAGAGCCAACTTCACATTCCTAAAGTGTGCTTAAGTGACTTTGTCCAGGATTATAGCTGCGATTTATAATGTAAAAAATTTACAGTGGTTTATATTTTAAAAAAAAAAAATTTAATTCATATCCATTGACTGTAAGTTTGTGTGGGCTCAAATAAAGTGGAACAAATGTTACTTAGATGTTGCTGTATGTGCTGAATATGAATAACTGTGTTTAACTGATGTGACCGTCACTGTGGGACTGGAGCAAAAAAAAGAGCTCATGTAAGTATAAAGGCTCAGTATTTCCAGTCTGAATGTAGGGCTGTAGTTTGGTCCAGAAGTGTGTAATCCTGGTCTACAAGTTTAAAATAGGTTTTGACAATGATTTAAAGCAGCCAACAGACCTTTTATCAGTGCATTATCATTGCTAGAATAAACAGCATAGACCAGCATTTCTGGTCACCAGTAAAACCAGCATATGTTGTATTTTGTATGCTGGTATGCTGTTCAACCAGTATGACCATGCTGGGTGACCAGCTAAACCAGCACTAGACCAGCATAAACCAGCATTTGGAAATGTAATATGTACGGATGCCCATTCGGCCATTTAGTTAGTCATAATAATGAGAACGTTTTCCATAATTATGACTTATTGTCTCAGAATTATTACTTGCTATCTCATAATAATGAGATCCTGTCTCATAATTATGACTTAGCATCTCGTAATTATGACGTGCTATCTCATAATAATGATATTCAATATTATAATTATGACTTCATATCTCAATTATGACTGACCATCACATAATAATGACCATATCATAATTATTACTCACTTATTACCTCACAATTTAGGAGCAAATGTTCTCATTATTATAAGATAGTAATTATTATGATATATTGTCATAATTATAAGAAACCTTATAATAATTATGAGAAACTAAGTCATAATTATGAGATTGTAAATAAAAGTATTTAGAAATAGCAGCTAATTACAATTACTTTAGTCATTATTTCGAGCTATTAATTCAATATTTCCACCTACCTGTAGCAGAGGACAGAGCGTTTTTCCACTTCTACCTGATAGGAACAGAATTCACCCTGCTTGTCCGTTTTATGCTGTAGGTTCATACCTTATCTCTTCTTTTATTCAGGTATAAGGAAAGATTACGTACCAAGTGTCTGAAGGATCCAGTGAAGAAGCAGCAGCTGAGCGGGGCTCTGGATGGCCGAGGTTGGCGCTTTCTGCACCCGGGTCAGGATGATTTCAGAGACGGATACCCGGCGCTCCGGGGCGAGGCCCTCACTCAGCCTCAGCGCGGGACGGGTCCTCCAGTACTGGGGCTGGTTAGCCGGGCCCGTCCGGCCACATCACCGAAAAAACGCTTCACCAAAGAGCAGGCCTGCTTCTCCAAACTGAACTGCCTGCGACAGGCCCGGCGCCAGTACGTGGAGGCGGTGGAGCAGAAGCTCAGCGCTCACCCACTCGCCCTGTACCCTCATTTAACAAGCGGCCTGCAGCCTGAGGTAACCGCCATATTACCCACAGGCTAACACAGCTAGCTAACAGGTTTCTCTAAATCCATTTCACAACACGATACGGGAATAACGCTAAATATCTTGCTAGTTAATGGTTACTGAAACCAGTCACATTGTTTGTTGTACTGTAGGCTGTGAGCATTATGTGCAGTCAATGTTCTGTCATTTGTTTTACTGAGTTTCAGTTGTTTAACCTGAGTTTAAGAAATGTGCCAATTGGGAATTGACAATATCAGTCAGTAAAGCTAAACACTAAAACTATATATAACTAAAATCTGAACAGTAATATAATTTAATATTATAATAACTGATATTATCGGTTATCTGATTTTTTACCCACATAAAAATGAGCATATAGGATATTAAATGAGTTTTCATATCTGATTTAAGTTGTTTACTCTTTCTAAAACATCATTTTTGCACACATTTTGTACAAAACAATGCAGACTAATCTTTAACTGTGCCACATTATTGATTCACCAATGCATTGTTTTATATAGTAAGGTATATCACAATATGAAGCAATATAGTCGTAATGCTAGTACTCTATCCATATGTGCCCAAGTAGCATTTTGTTTATTTCTCAAAAAATTACAAACCACACTAACAGAAATTCACACGCACCAATGTCATACACCAAACATCACAACCACAGGTAACATTACATAACACTTCACAACCCCCTAAAGGCCCAAGAACAATAGCATTTGTCCGTTTGAACCCCCTGCTGATAGAGCAGTTTACTTGGAAATGTAGGTATGATTGGATATTTTAGATCTAAAGTAATGCCTTCCAGAATGCCTTCCTGATAGCAGTAAATAAAATGCATAACATACTGAATTCAAATGAATGCTTATAGTCCATCTCTGCATGCAAGCCACAGCTTTAAGTTGCTGTTGTGTAGTAAAGCCCTTAAGGTATTCCCATGAGTCTTTTCATGCTTCAGTAATGCTAAGCCATTCATGTATATATTCACAGTGATTTGGAAACACTATACTCAAAAAGTGCTGAGGTTTTTAAATTTGTAAGGAATATTCGTCAGCCAGTTATACTGGGCAACATAGGATCTTTATTTATTATTATTATTATTATTATTATTATTAAGAGATATTTGGTGTGAGGAAAAATTATCTAGAGCTGTCACTATTAATCATTTAGTAATTGAGCACTCTAGCAATAGTTTTGATGCTAAATCTAAATGAAATAATTAATTTTTTTATTGTTTGCACAAAGAAATTGAATTAAATAAATAAAACCTTTTACTTCATATACACTCTTAAATGCAGCAAAAAAAACAGCCTCATATACACAAACATACACACATTTGTAAGATTCCTCCTTTTCAAAGATGCACTCAAAAGCCACTTGTGTGACTAATAACTCACTCTTGTGGACAGTCCTCAGACTTCAAAACAAGGCTTTATAATGAGCTGCTGAGTCCCATTTTATCATGCAAACTGCAAACTAATCACTAAGCCAGTTCGGAGAGAACATACATTTTTACTGATTAATTTTTTTAAATCGAGTAATCAATTTTAGTTAAGTAATCGTGACAGCCCTACAATGATCAACTGCCAATATGTGAGTATGTAAACTATTTGTGCCTCAATTCTGTCTCTCTGATAAAACATATAAACTAAAGCCTACATTGTCCTCCAGTGAAATGAACCCAATCATCTCTGTCTGATGAGTTCAAAACTAAGCGAACAGGGGCACTACCACACTATAAAAATATTATATATATTTTTACGTGCCTGGGCTAAATCTCTCAGTTTGGTGTTTAACTGATTAGTGTGGATAGAAGGTGCCAAGCCATTAGTGGCATAAAACTTGCCAAGACACATTTCTAACACCCGTCCTCATCCACATTTGCATGGACAATAGAACAAACATCTTCCACAATTGATTTGTTCCCAGAAGTACCAGAAGTGCTAGAACAATGAGATTGAGGAACAGCTTTTACAACCTGGAATTCCTCAAACCATTTGTAACATGAAAGGACAGAGTTAAAATTAATTTGCTAAACAGTTCTGGCCTGCACTGCTGAACTCAGAACGAAGGGCCAAATGGGTAACGCTAAGTACCTTCTCTTCCATTTCCTTTACACAGCTGATTAATGACGTACTGTCTGTTCTGGACCCGGAGATGCATGTCAAAAGGGAGTCAGACCATTCCTGTTTTGGGAAAGAAGAGGAATGTAGTGAAGTGAGTGGGGGGAAATGTGAAGGCCCAACCCAAGAGCCTTCAATGGAGGAGACAACCAAAACATCTGCAGGCACAAAGTAAGATGAAATTGTAAAATTTCTGAACTGTTAATATGGGCTGATTTAATTCCATATGGTAAATAATTCAACAGACCTGAGCAGCCTTGAGTAGTAACACATTTAAAAGGCCTTGCATAAGTCCCTGTTTGCAATAATGAAAAATGCGTGAAAAACATGAGCCTCCATAGTAGGGGCGCATACTCCAAACACTTTTTGGAAGCAATAAGTTGCATCCTCTACAGTGACCAAACTTAAATATGGCATATTTCTGCCAGGGCTGGACCCGAATATTCGACTATTCGGATATTTGTTTGTTGTGTAGGTATTCGGTTTTTAATTTTGGGATTTGGATATTTGTGTTTTTTTGCATGAGTGTAGACTACCTATAAAGGAGAACTGCGAAATACGGCAACGTTTGGGGTCCTCAGGAGAAACTTAGAGGACTCAAGATGATAATGTAGCTTTATTTTTAATTTGCTAAAACTCGCGCCAAACACGGTGAGAAGAAGCACAGCCTCTCCAGCACTAACAGCTAAATACACAGCCCTCTGCACTACTCTTGAAAACCCACCACTGCACCTGTATTCAGGCTCTTCAACATAAAAGTCCATGTGCGAATAAACCTGAAACAGCCCAACAAACATTTCTTCTCTTTAAAAAACTGAACTACTTAGAACACGGTGTGGCGATGCCAAATTTTGTCACCACATTCTTGTACTACATTTATACTTTTTAATTTAACTGTTAAAATGTGGAAATATATACCACCTCAGCTCAGACGCCTGACATCTCGCTTACTCACATCAGTGAATGTCAAGTGAATGGCACACTAACACAGTGCTGGACAGCATGTTTTGCCAGGGTTGTGGCAAACAGTGCCCCGCCATACTGGACCCTTACTAGGGCTGCGATGAATGCCCTTCAATCCTTAAGTTAGACCACCCCCCATTTGTACTTAAATAATCAAGTTATAATTACTTACTTTATTGCAGTTATTGATAATTAGTGCTATCACTCAATTCAGGCAAGTATGGAGCGCTTAAACATTCAAGGGTATTGAAGGGTATCAAAAAGACAAGTAATAAGTGAGGACAGGGTGGAGTCACTCCTAGCGAGTTAGTTGATTTCTGTTTATTAGCTCTTATTTTTCCTTCAGATTTTGTTTTCAAACAAAAAAACGTTCACGTTATATATAAGCTAAATATGAATCGCTGCTAAGTCAGTAGTTTTTCTCAAAGTTAGCATATGTAACTTTGAAAACTTTAAAGGTTTTTTTGTACATCTTAGCTTGAGATCATTGTAATGATGTGAAAATTAGTTAATTAAACAATGTAGTAGCTACTTTAACATAAACTTTTTCACAACAGTATGGTCTGTGTTATGTATATTTAAACTTTGTCTTACAAGTTTGAGTGTAATCATGTACTCCATGTTTAATTTCAAACAAGCTGAAAATTTGAATTTCAAAACTTAATTTGAGGCAATGAGTTCCTCAAAACTGAATAAAGTGAGTAAACTGAACTTGTCAGGGTTTACAGTTCAGTTGTCTCTGACTTTAGATGTCGCACTTACTTTAGATGTACTTAATAGTGTTTATTGAAGCAGGTAACTTATTTTTCATTTTCAAAAAATCTGCCAAAATTATCGGCCAAAAGAAAGGGCCATCAGCCAATCTGACTGTAAAGACATCATAGTCAGGCATAAAAATGCATCCCTACTACTCAACTCAAAACAGACCACTGCTGTCTTGCAGGGACATGTGGCTTTTATAAAATTGTGTGTTGAGGCACAACCCTATATTAATTTTATAAAATCCATGAAACTGAATTCGCTGAAAAGCAGAAAGTGATGTGCTGTTTTTTACTTTTGACTGCGGTTTTAATAAGATTTTATCTTACCATGCTGAGATGCTGCCGTCAATCTAGTGTTTATTCTCTCTTATACTCACACCTGACAGTCATGCTGGCTGCTAAGCTCAGTTTTACACATCACACAGGAAACCGTATTTATATACAATGTTGAAGCGAAGCATTTTTATAGTTTGGGATTTTTAGTACCATCCTAGTGCCATCTGCATTTCTCTCTTTCAGTCATATGATATAAAGTGCTTTCAGCAATAAAACCGTAGATCCTTAATACTGGCCTTGTTGATCAGTCAAACAGTGTATCAGTCAGGCCCCATCAGATAATCCATGAGTCTGAAAAACCTCTATGACATCCACATGATTTCATGTGTACTGTAATTATTCTGCAGTCTGTACAATTTGCTACTGGGTCTTATATTCTAACATACTCTGTGTGACATGAATATGTTATTATATCCAAAGACCTCTGATGGAGGGAGTAAAAGGCTTCGATTCTAGGAATTCTTATAAATGGCAGGAAGCTAAGGACACCCGTGCCAAAGAGGACCAGATGGTAAGCGACAAATTCCTCCACTCCCCCTCTCAAGATGAAGACATCAAGAAAGTGACCAAGCTCTTCTGTGACTGGGTCGCTTCGCTGGTCAGTTTTTGCATCACGACAAATAAACTGCCATATTCAAGACCGTAGACCATCATTTCTAAAAGTTGCTCTAAGGATGTTATTAAAATGATATAATTTGAACACACTGGGCTGTTAAGTATGGATGAGTGAATGCCATTCATTCCTATGCACGTTTCCTTATAGGAGCTTTCATGTGTGACCATATGGTTTAACTTTTTCAGGGTGGTGAGACCCACAGTTTGACAGAGTCCACTATTCTGAACCTGTTCTTTAGTGGCTATGAGAAGAAGCCTGCTTTAATGTTCCCTATTCAAGTGCTGGGACCCAACCAAATACCAGAGGAGCTCCGCACCACTGTAGAATGCCTGTGCAAAGATTACTCACACAGTGCACAGCTGAAGGACTCAGAGTTGAACAAGGTAAGAACAAGAATTGCACAGTAATCATTATAATCACAATTATTCTGCTCAATATCGTAATCTTAATCATTTATCACAATTACTCAGCCACTTCAAGGGAAAAAAATTGCTTTAGATGTGCAACACAAAAAAGGCAGTTAAATTGTGCTCAGGTTTTTGTCATGAATACAAGCCTGGAAACATGATATGATAGAATGCAGGTGTTCCCAAACTTTTTCATGCCAGAACCCACATGAAGAGATACTATTTGTCCCACGACAGACAAATATTTTGTGAAGTAAAAAAAGACCTAATAATAATAATAATACATTATACTTATATAGCACTTTTCAAGAACTCAAAGACGCTTACAGGTTTTCAAAATACAGAACAGTAAAGACAAACATGAGACCACGAAGCACAGTCATAACATCGCAAGCAAAAACATAGCAGGACTTGGTAAAAGGGCTGGTTTAAGATTGAGAACAGTTATAAGCAATAGAAAAGAGATAGATTTTAAGTTTAGATTTAAAAGTAGAAACAGAGTTGGCCTGTTGAATATGTGAGGGAAGCGAGTTCCAGAGTCGGGGAGCCAGCCTAGAGAAAGCACGATCACCGTATGCATGTAGGTTGGAAAGTGGGAAAGTGAGTAAACCAGCACAGGAAGACCTGAGAGTGCAAGTTGGTTTGTAGGGAATAAGTAGATCAGACAGGTAAGAAGGAGCAAGGTTATGTAGAGCTTTGTATGTGAGGAGAAGAATTTTGAATTATATGCGGAGATGGAAAAAAGGTGGTTTTAACTACAGAGTTGATGTGTGCACTGAATGAGAGAGTTGAGTCAAAGAGAAGGCCCAGATTTCGTACCAGAGGGGAAGAGGACAGAGTTACATTGTCGATGTAGAGAGAGAAAGAAGACGTTTTAGAGAGAGTTGATTTGGATCCTATAAGAATAAGTTCTGTTTTATCACTATTTAACATGAGAAAGTTGTGCTTCATCCAGGTTTTAATTTCTGTTATGCAGTTTTCAAGCTGGGTGAGGGGTGGATTTTTAATAGATTGAGTGCTTATGCAAATCTGTGTGTCATCCGCATAACAGTGAAAGTTCAGCTTGAAGCTACATATTATGTGGCCAAGAGGAAGCATGTACACAATAAACAAAAGAGGTCCAAGGACTGAGCCTTGAGGGACCCCCTGAGTAACCACAGACGTATAAAAAGTATGGCCACCAAGGGTGACAAACTGTTTTCTGCCAGTCAGATATGACTTAAACCACTCCAGGACAGTGCCCCTAATGCTCAGATCATGCAGCTCACCGTATCAAAGGCTGCACTCAGGTCAAGTAGCAGAAGGATGCTAAGAGCACCAATATCCGCAGACACCAGGAGGTCATTAGTGACCTTTATTAAGGCAGTTTCTGTGCTATGAGAGCGACGAAATGTGGACTGGAATGGTTCAAAGAGGCAGTTAGCTGATTAGTAATACTGGAGTTGGCTAGCCACAGTCCGTTCAAGTACTTTGGACAGGAAAGGGAGGTTAGAAATGGGGCAGTAATTACTGAGTTCTAGTGGATCAAGGCCAGGTTTTTTAATTATGGGTGTGATAGCAGCAATCTTGTAAGCAGAGGGTACCTGTCCATAGAGAAGTAAGTTATTGACAAGACTTGTGAGATGAGGGACCAGGGCAGAAAGACAAGCTTTTTTGTTGGAAGGGGATCAAGAGAACAAGTTGTAGTTTTAGAAGTAGTTATGGTGTATATAATGGAATAAGAATCAACAGTGTTAAAGGTAGAGAGATTAGAGGATGGGGGGCTGGGGCTTTTAGAATGGACAGTCCAGAGGTATTATTAGTAGGGGATAGCAGAAAGCTGTTGATTCGTGCAATTTTTTATTCAAAGAAATGTAAAAATGAGTCACAGAGTGCAGGGGAGGCAGCCACAGAGGTTTCAGGGGGTTTAAATAATTTGGTGACTGTTGAGAAAAGATGACAGGAGTTTGTGTTTGAATTATTAATGAGACCAGAGAGGTAGGCTGATTTAGCTGAATGCAGGGCATCTCTATAAGCTAACAGGTATTGTGTGTGTTTGTTTGAATGGAACTTCCTCAAACTGTTGCCACAAATTCAGAAGCATATAACTTTCTAAATGTCTTTGTATGCTGTAGTATTAAAGTTACCCTTTAATGGAACTAAGGGGTCTAGCCTAAAGCCTGAAAAACAGGCTCATTTTGTGAAGCTCTCCATGCACAGTTCTTGTGCTGATGTTGCTTCCAGGCTGTACTGAGTGATTCAACAGAAGATAGGAAACTTCAAGCTACACACTTCAGCACTCGTTGGCCCTGCTCTGTGCTCGTCAGTACAACCCATACTGGTGCCAGTTTTTGTCTATAGAGACTGCATGGCTATGTGCTTGATTTTATAGATGTTATCAAAGGGTATGGTTTAAACACCCGAATTAGGAAGAGTGTACACATACTTTTGGCCATATAGTGAACCTAGGCCTACATTATTACGTACTGAGTGAGATTGTGGAATAGAAAATAATAAAATTATAACTATAAATGTTCTATACTTCTATACAGTGTAAATTAGAGATGGCATATTGGTATCAATGGGTATCAGTATCGGCCTGATATCAGCAGAATGGATTGGATATCTAAGGGGAAAAAAGAACAAATCCTATCCAAACCTGTAACAAATCTATCCTGCAATAGCACACAGTCACATTGTGTGAAGTGATGCTGTTAGCTATGAATTTCTTCCGGTGTGGTAGGGTGTTTAAAGTGGGGTAGTTAGAGTACTTTGAGTGCAGTAGTTTTTGAAGAAGAAAAAAAAAACCTCTCGGCCAATGCTCTGAAAAGTGATAGGAAAGTAGTATTGGCCCATCTCTAATATGAACACATTAATAAAATTAAGAATATTTTGTTGGACGTTACATGTCATATTTAAGTCTGTTCTGAAGCGTGTTGTTAGCTTGCTAAGTAGGCTTGATAGCTTAGTACTCTGATCAACTTTGCATAATAACTACGTGTGCTTTAGTGAGACCTGACAGATGTTGAAATTGTGCCACTAATTGATTGCTAACTGTACTATTTAAAACTGCTCAATATGGCCGTCTGCAGTGGAGGAAAATATTCTTGATGCAGCTTCCTCATGACCCACTCGTCTCCACACTGCAATCCACCAGTGAGTCGCGACCCCCAGTTTGAAAACCACTAATTTAATGCACCAGAGTCAATAAAAAACAATATCTAATGTTAGCCAAAAAGCTAACTGTACCTAAACTGACCAAAATCACAGCAAAAACAAGCCAATAACATACAATTTAAACTCAGGCTTGCGTTTATGGAATTGTGCAGCATAGTATTAGTTTTAATAACCCATTGTTATTGGGATTTTTAGGTTCATGGCTGCATATTCTTTCTTGGTGTTTTCATCTCTTGCTGTTGTGACTCTTTGATTACATGTGTGTTCATAATTTTGGATTACTACGGATTGACCCGTTTTTTGGTTTTTTTTTTCCTTTCTTCCAAAACGCCAGATCTGTACACCCAATGTAAAGACCACATATGGCGCATGGTATTTAGATCCAAAAACATGGAAGAAGCGGCCTGCTAACAAGCCACTAAGAGACCCTTCAGTGTCCAAGGACCTGGAGCATGAGCAGCAGCCCACAGAGAAGGTGGGACTAATCAGTGCTCATATATAGCGAGTTCTGATAAAGGCAGATAAACGAATAATGTGAAACAAGGCCAGCAAAGTCCATTTTCTAACTGTGACGTCTATTCGTATTTCCCTACTGGACAGGATGAACAACTAAAGCAGATTCATGGAACCCAAGCCTTCAGGCAGTTTATCATCAGTAAGGGACTGAGAATGCCCAGGGTAAGACTCTGTTCGTTCTAGGAACATGAAGAATGAATTAATTCCCATATTTGAATGCAGCTGACATTTACATGCATAATTTCTTGCAGTTTCTCAACTCACTCTTCTTGGAGGAGGAGCAGGAGAACAGGACCACAGGGACGGACACAGTAGCCTCAGCTTCTATGCACAAGGGGACAGCCATGCTTTAAATACATCTCAGCCCTTATTCCTGTGTGGTACAGCTGAGCTGTACTCTAAATTAAGAATTATTAAAGGACAACTGCAACTACTCAAGTTTCAATGAGTTTACAGTGGCAAATGCTCATGTTTCTGATTTGCACAGTATGTTAACAAATGAAACAGGATGCTATTTGTCAAAATCTTGAAACTGTCTTTTAAGCTTTTTTTGTTTACACTTATTAAAGACAGTCTAAATGAAAGAACAAGAAATCTTCGGTTCTGTGTCCAGGTGATACCATTTTCTGTGTCCTTGTTCTTTCAAGTTTAGAAATTCCACATTCAATTATTTTAAAAAGCCTTTATTTGCAACAGTCATACTTGGTCCAGAAGCTTATCTTTTCAGAGGTTCTTTTCTGTCTTTGACTCTCCTCACTCTCTTCTCTTGGGTTTTTATCATAGAGGCCATTTCTGCAAAATTGCCAAAAAACAACATGGGAATAAATATAAAGCATTTGTGTCTTTTAACTACCAGTAAAATTTCAAACTGTTTGTATTTTCAGCCATATTCCTACCTTGATTTTTTTTTTGAAGATCCTCCACATGGTTCTGGAGATTGCTTAGCTTGCTCTGTAGCTCTTTGCATGTCTGTGCTGTTAGCTCATCTGGGTTCTTGGCAGCTGTTTGTATAAGAAAACAAACATTCAAAATAGTGAACACATTATATAATGTCAGATATGTTATATAAAATGTATTACAAGGCAGTCAGTTCCTTCTGTTAGATAAGACTGCAATGATTAATCAACAACAATCTTCATTATGAAAACATAATGAAGACTGTCATTGATTTTCATTGTTCATGTGTCGTTTACTAAAACAAAAATAACTGTCAGTTTGGGAAGGTTCTATTGTTCATTGCACAGGCTGAACTTTTAATGACCATAAACACAAAGGGCAGGTAGGAGGTGACTTCAGTCCACTGTCAGATCTCTGAAGACTGATGCTAATACCAGGTGTGAACAAGGCCACAGGATTAGTCAATTAATAGTCAACAGGTGCACTGATCACAGAAATAATAATCTTTGGTAGAAAGTTACAACTTACATATATGGGCAGCACTGGTGGGGCTTTCCTCCTTCAGGCTCTCATAGAGGTCAATGGGGAGGTCAGAGGTTAAGAGGGAGTGGACTGGAGATTTCCGTCCCAGGGCTGCCACACAAGATACAGATCTGTAGCAAGGCTGAGCTGCTCTCAGTCCTGGATCTTCATCTAAGAAATCGGAAACCAACACCAGAAATCTGAACTATAATAAAAATGAACATTATTTTAAATTATATATAAAACTGACAGTCAAGTTAGCTATATACCCTTACGCTAATCTCATGACTGCAATGGCTTACATCACATGTTGTGCTAAGAACAACTGTTCATTCATTAGTCACAGTGGTTATCCACAGATGCGCAACTGCAAGGACTCACTGTTAGCTGAAAAAGCACTGTTCACGTCCTGTTTTTCAAGGTCAGAGGTTCGGAGAAGACCCTGCTCACTGCATTGCAGCAAAACATGCAAGACAAGCCACATGCATTAGCTGCAGTTCAAAGCATTTACATTCATACTGTGCAAAACAGAGAGAAGGGGGGGGGGTTAAAACCACAAGCAGGAAATGTTGTAATACGTTAAGGTTTTACAATATATGGTTTCACACAGAAATGTGTTTCACACAAGCAAGCTCAAAGCAAAAACTGTAGAAACAGACATACATGTATGAGGGAATGAGCAATAAGCCTTTGGCAATCTTAAGCTCAATATCCTCTCACTTTCAACTGTCACTATGCTTAATCAGCCTTCACTATCCATGTCTTTGGTTACAACATATCTGAATCAAAAAGGCCTTTCAAGCAGATATGTAAGAGTTATTAAAAAGCTCACTAAGCAGACTAGACACAAATTGCTATGGAATGTGCAGTGTAATAAAATAAACCATAAGAGGCTGTTATACTGTGGGACTAGGTAAGGGGTATTGTTAGGCATGATATGTATAGCTGTGTTAAGGGGGTTTATGGCTTAGGACATTGCTTTTGTCCTGAATTTGGTTGTGGACAATTCCCACACCCTAGGTATGACACAACGCTGCCAAGCTGGGAAGATGAAGGGTAGCACATGAAGCCAGCCATATTTTTCCAAACTTAGGCTTATTTAACAGCATTGGACAGCTCAATGTGTTTGCGCCCAGTGATGGTTAACCGAGTTACAGCTGTATAAAAAATTAAAAAAAAAACTTTTTGATTCATTTCCTGCAAACAATGGCAAGACTTTTACACATGTTGGGTAATGCGACATTGTAGCTAGCTTAGATGAGATTGTTGTAGAAACACCACTGTTAAGCTACGGTGGTTAAATGCACTCAGTGTAACAAGCAGATATCATGCCTGTACAAAAGGTTTTCTATATTACAGTGCACATTTTAGGACATCAATAGTATCAAATTTGGAAAAACACAAGTGAAATCATGTCTCAGCTCTCTTACATCAGGTGAAACAGGCCTCAGGAAAGATGACGTTCTTACGAAATTAAAACAAGTGTTGTTATTGTTGTTGTTCTTATTGCTATGCATGTGAAAGAAACTTTTGGATAAAAATTTAAGAAAAAAGTACTTAGTGCCACAATGCTTAGATGCTTAGAAAGCTTTGTCACTTGGGAATCCTCAAGGCTTACTGATTATAGAAAACGGTGCGACAAAATATAATATGATAAAACACATCAAAGCTCAAATTAAACAGCAAACAAATCTTATGCCAAGAAAGGCAGTTCACTGATGGTAGGCTACGGTTGCTCAGCAACATAATCAAACATCATATCATGAACACAATGGTTTTAATAAATTGCTGCTTTAAAACAAAATTCAGTTAATGCGTGCGATCACGTTAGTTTGTATTGAGCATTGTACAGTGGCTTCAAAGGCGGCTCATCAAAGCTGGTTTCTGAACCCGAATGATCCATTTTATAACACAAGACAAACAACAGTGTTGTCAGTGTAACCTTTAAATGGCATTAATCTTTGGTAGGTAAGCAACAAACAATACAATACTGAACTGCAGCCAATGAAGACAATTTAATTGAAGTAGACAATGAATGCACCCTCTTTTCTGGCAATGTGATCATCCCTTTCTCTTACTTTCTGATCCTGTGGGTTTCCTCAGACCTTGTCTTTGCACGAGGGCCCTGCTCATCATTGATTACACTGTGCAGCTCCTTTACCAGGCTTCGCCGCTCCAGTGTGGGGCTAGGCCTCTGGCTACCAGTGTTTAACTGGACACAACCCAGATAAAACATGTTCAGACCATTCAATTAGATAAAACATTAATATTTGAAATGGCCCTTTTTTGTTTTTATTTTGTACCTCTCTTTGGCTGGAGGAGTTAGTCTGGAGGGTGGGCAGGTGTTCTGGCACTGTAGGGCTGGTGATGGGGGACCTATGGATGTTGCCTGTAGCTCGTAAATTCTGGCCTTGCAACTCCTACACAAGATATGCAAAGCAAAATTGTACAAGCAAATAAAGTGTGTTGATTTAAGGGAATGATGATAGCAATCACTGTTAGTACAGTTGGATGGAATTATCAGTTGAAAGCATACCTTCACCTCCAGAGCGTGCTGGAGCTTCAGTCTCATGATCTCTTGTTCTTGCTTCTGAATGTACTCTTGGCACTCTGCAAAGCTGTCTGACATCTGGAAGAAATAAAGCGTAACGGTCAAACTACACAGTATATAAAACCTGTGCTTCATGTGTACTGTAAGACACTTTCATCTAAACTGCAGATCACTAACTGGAATGTGAGAAAACCTTGTGCAGGGCTATGTCCAGTCTCTCAGCTTTGCTCTTCAGGAGTTTCTCATTTGTACGCAGAGTGTCCAGCTCAGTCTCCAACCTCCTCCTGCTCTCCATCTCAAAACGCAGCTCCTGCATACGACGCTTGCTCTCCATCGCCTGGTACCGCTTCTCCTGAACGTCCACATGTACAAATGCACACAGCATGATTAAAGCTCTAACAGTAACGTGTAATCAGGCCTAAAATTTTGGCTGAATGTATATCAAACCCTAATACAGCCTGAGAACATTCTGCCCTGAGGACCAAGCTCTGAATCTGATCCCAACTGTTGCCCTGTACCTTGTAGTGAAAATGTATCATCAGTTCATTGCAAAGAAAACTGAAATTAATAATTGACTTAAGTTAGTAGCAAAATTAAGAGATTGAGGGCAAATGCAGGCCAAAGTCTGTTAAAGCAGTGGTTTTCAAACTGGACCTCAGGGACCCTCAGGCAGTCCACATTTTTGCTCCAAACCATCAGATAGAGCAAAACGTGGACCAGTAGGGGGTCCTTGAGGACATGTTGGAGAAACGGTGTTAAAGTGTCTATATACAACATTTGTTTTATTTATTCCACCTGAGGTCCACTTATAAGGTTTGCCTGGTTTTATGCACCAAAACCATAATAATCATTACCAATAATTCATTTTTACATGACCATTTCCCATCTTTTCTTTATCTCCTAGCATTAAACAAGCTGTTTTTATAACTGTGCCTTTAGGACAGATATTTGTAACTTGCAATCTGTGTTCTTATTGGCTGCCCTGTATTATGTACCCTGTATTATGTCTCATTTGAAAAGAAGTCTGGGTTGAAACACTCCTTATAACTTAATTGTGAATGGGTGGGGCAAAATTGCTGCAGCCTGAAGAAATAGACTGAATAGAGTGAGTGGTACATTTTGGAACATACTACATCAAACTCTTATTGAAAAAAAAAGTGAGCAAAATTAAGTTTTACATGGTACAAGAAATTTAGAGGTGAGAAACAGACTGTGAGAAACCTGAGTGTGTACAACTGAATTGTGTTAATGCATCTTTTAACTTATTAAAAACTTCACACTGTATCTAACAACATCCCTTGACTGTGAAGTCACTGAAACACATTGCTTAATAGCATTTAACGCCAAACATGAATGCACCATTTACTCCCATTTCTAAAAGAAAACGTTAAAGGAGTGTATGAGTGTTCTTGGTCGATGGAGCTGTTGATAAGGAGCTTTACCTGAGCAAGCTTCTCCGTGGTCTCCTCCAACATCTGTACACGGCTCTGGAGAAAATCAATCTGCTCTCGCTTTGCTGTGATCTGCTTCTGCATGCCCAAGGCTACCTTCAACCCTGTAGCACCAACCACTTACAATCAAATATATGAACACCCCATATCAGCACAGCAGCATCATCAAAATACATTTGCTGTTCAAAAGTCTGAGATCACTAGTTTGCATTCCTTTCTTATTTTAAAACATAATTTGTAATGAAAAATGATATTATTACCATAACAATTTGAGTGAAAAGTAGGCCTTAACATGGTCAGTTTCACAAAGTTGCTTCAATTTGAATAGTGACCTAGAAAGAGTGCAGAATTCTGAATATTTCGTCTTCATTTTAATTGTAATACTTTTTTGTGTTACTTTTTTTTAACATTCTAAAACTTTGTTCCATCATAAAAAAAATTCAATGTGGCGGTCAGACCTTTGGACTCCACTATATATTTATTATTTACACAGTAGAGACTGTACTTTTACAGACTGGGTGTTTTTTGTTATTTTTGATAAACTTGTTGCACTTTAGCAAACGTGTGTCTGACATCTAAACTGTGAATAACATTCAGAATCAGTTATCTTCTGCTGGCTGCTTCACATGACCTGTAGAGAGAAAGCCAGGCTACATTGTTAAGTTATTGTCAGCATGTCAAAGGATGCTTTGTGTAGTGTCTCGATGCACTGAAACTTGTGTCATATGAGATCACATTGTTCTTGTTCTCCTTGCATGCCCCTACATAGCAGAGAATAGCACCAAAACAATGTAACAAACAGCTTTATAGGAATCTGACTACAGTGGTTGGTGTAGCCAATACAAACACAATGCTCTCTAATGCATTTATCCACACACAATGTATTGCTGTTTTTTAACAGTATCGCACCATGATGACGTGGGACCAAACCAGCAAATGAACGAATGAGGGAGTCATGTTACGTAGTCACACGATGGAAAAGTACATGGTGGAATAATAGAAGGAAGTTAGCACGCTAAGATACTCCAAAACTAGCATCCCAGTGTGTAGCCTTCCTGCCATTATCCGCAACCCAGGGATAATACAGGGAAGGCCACACATGAAGACACTCCTTAAAGAGAATAAATGAATCCAGAGGGTCAAAGTGTGTGGTCTTCCACCTATTATTCTAAACTGACCCAGATCTCATCTCACTGCAAGAACATTTTGCTTTAACGTTTGACTAAAAAGACAGCTTTTTATTAAAAAACCCTCTTCTGACTTTAAACATGGGTCGTGTTCTTACAGGAGAGCTGTATTTGCATGTGTATACATTTACACTTCCCATTCTTTTCTTCCCACGGCTTTGAAAGGTCTACAATGACAATGGGTCCTGTGAGGTTACTGAGTGCAAGCATGAAAGCTCAGGTGATCAAATCTGAAAAGTAATGGCACAGTTCAATGACACCAATGCCATTTTAATTGTCATCCTTTTTTGCGTTCATTTTTTTAACATTCTCAAACTTTCTGCTGTTCTGTTGTCTGCAAGCTAAATGGTTTTCATTCATTGTTAGCAGGGCAGACAGATTTTAAAATTTGCACTGTATGTGTATGGTTTGTCCAAAATTAAGGATATGTGGCCAAAATCATAGAAACATGTTTATTGTATACATTGATGTATGCAAAGGTTTGAACAGCCTGGTTATATTTTGTTGATTTTACAAGTGAAAATGAGTTAAAAACAAGTAGAAACTTGCTGCATTTTCTGCAAATTTTAATGCACATTTTCCATTAATTTGCTGAGTTTAACATATTGGGGAAAAAAAACATAAATACATACAATGTACTATTTTTTCACAGGCCACATTTTATGTGTTTTCCCTCACTAAGTTAAATTCAGCAAATAAACAGTAACTGTGCATTAAAATGTGAAGAAGTGTGTGCTCTGTAGAGGATGTGCAAAATATTTTCGCTAAAAACCAAACAGAACACATAATTTGACCGGGGCACTCAAACATGCACACGACAGTACATTTGTGTATTTATTTGAAGCATGCTTCAGTACCAAAACCAGATATGCTCTGTTTAGCTACTGCAGTTATAGCCTTTTGGTGTAACAACAGCTTATTTAAGAACTTATTTAATTAAGACTTTATTTCCTAGAATGACATTAACTAACCTCAGTCAAACAAACAGCATCCATGACGGCCAGTGGACCATTTCTGCATGGGCGACCACCACAGTCACAACACCATCATGTTAGCCATGCAGTGGTTACAGTTAGCAACTTCCAACAAAAGCATGCATGAATAAACCCACCCTATCATGTGTGACATGAACGTAAACCTAACTTAGTGAGTGCACTGAATGTATGTGTGTGTGTACCATGTCCATCAGCTCCTTCCAGTGTTCTGAGGGTGCTCTTGGCCAGCTCCAGGCTTGCTTGGGTGTTATTAAGCTGGGATCTGAGCTTGCTGTTCTGCTCTTGCAGCTCTTTAGTTGTCCTGCTGTGCTGCTCTCTTAAAGCCTCCTGCTCTTCTAAATAAGAGACACACAGTGCCAGTAGCAATTACTATGGCAGTTGGACACGGCAGTACAGAAAATAAGCACACAATGTGATACATGATTCAAATGTGTGCATCATTTTCCCATGAAAAAAAAAAACACACTGCACTAACATTATTTATCTTTATGTAGTATTTTAATCATGTTGAAATGATACACATTTGAATTTAATGGAGCACTTTTTTTGATGTACATGCTTTCATAGATACCATTAAAGATACCACAACAGGGCAAATTAACAAGGGAAACAAATGTAAATCCTCATTTAGTCTTGATCACCACATCAAAAGTGCTTGGATGTGTCACCTCCTTTACCTTTGAGCTTGCCCAGCTTCACACGCTGCTCCTCTAGCTCAGCAGTCACCTGCTGTTTTTCCAGCGTTAGCTGATGGAGGCTGTGGGTTCTCTCTGACAGCGCTGCCTGCTGCTGAATCTTATCTTTCTCCACAGCACTCAGCCTCACTTCTGCCTCCTGCAGGGCAGACTGCTCATGCAGACAGCACAGGGTTAGCATACTAGAGTGTCAATGTTTATACCAGTGAAATACAACAGTTTATTGCTGTAACTATTTAAGATTTCTGTTAGTAGTGGATAGAAAGCCTCTTTTCCCCTTATAATAAGTTACATTTGTACAACAATTATACTTCAAAGTAAGGACGAATCATGGTCTCCTCTGGTCTGCCATGACAGCAAAGAGTGTAAATCAGTAAAGATGGTAAATTAGTAAAGATTGCAGCAGCTTTTTCCTACCATAAAAATAACCATAGAAATAACCCCAGGTTATATTAATCCTGGCGGCACGGTGGCGCAGTGGGTAGCGCTGTTGCCTCACAGCAAGAATGGCCTGGGTTCGATTCCCGGCCGGGCGACCAGGGTCCTTTCTGTGTGGAGTTTGCCTGTTCTCCCCGTGTCTGCGTGGGTTTCCTCCGGGTACTCCGGTTTCCTCCCACAGTCCAAAAACATGCAGTCAGGCTGATTGGACATGCTAAATTGCCACTAGGTGTGTGTGAATGTGTATGTCTGTCTGTCTGCCCTGCGATGGACTGGCGACCTGTCCAGGGTGTATCCTGCCTTCCGCCCAATGACAGCTGGGATAGGCTCCAGCACCCCACCGCGACCCAGAAGGATAAGCGGTTTAGATGATGTATGTATGTATGTATGTATATTAATCCTGTGCAAACTGCCATGTCAGTAAATATTCCATCTTAGGTTGTGTGTAAGGAGGTTTCACAGTTTTTCTTAATATGGAGGCACTATTTGATTTTTTCCACTCACCACTATTGTATTTTTCCCACTTTTGTGCAGTTTTATGTTCCAAGAACAGCTGACATTAATTTCTACATGGCCATCTTCCAACCTGTCTTTATCCCTTAGAACTGAACAGTTTTTGTTATATTTATATTTATTGTGTTTAAGACTTTTGTATGTAAATCAGATCTGTCTTGATTGGCTGCCCTGTATTGTGCCTCATTGAAAAAGCAGTGCAGGCTGAAACCCTTCTTAAAACATCGCCATGAAAGGGTGGGGCTAAATTACTGTATGCTGAGTAGGTGGATATATAAATGTGTTAGTTTGTGTGACATCACAAACGCAATACATTCAAACTGGGCTGTCTTTGCAGCTTAGTTTCCAAATATAGACTGTATGGACTGGGGAGTGAACAGTACACTTTGAAACTTTAAAATGTGTTTATGTGAGGAAAATTCAGTTTTCAGTTATATGGGCCCTTTATCAAAGCTGCTATGTAGATGGTTAGGGTCAACAACATTACAGTTAAATAATTTGCATGTTCGATCATGTTCTCTACCTGTGAGTAGCCCAATGTATCACATCAAAATTGTTCTACAAATCCAGTAGCCCATCCTATCTCTGTAATTTAAAGTGATTTCAGCTACACATGGAAAAAAAATCCTGTCAGCAGTACATAACTCTGCTTAATAACACTTAACCCTATACCTTGTTGGTGTAACTGCTGTTCTGAGAATGGCCCACTACCTAAATAATAATCCTATGGTAATCCCTTTCCATTGACGGACAGCGTAGAGCATGTGTCAGGCTCCAGTCCTCGGCGGCCAAAACACTGCAGACTTCAGCACACTGCCTCATTAAACACCCCTGATTCAGCTCATCAGCTAATTAGCAAGGCCTTCATGACATGAATTCAGAGCATTAGACTAGGGTAAATGCTAATCTCCTCAGCACTTTGGCCCGAAAGCTCTCCAGTTTGACACGCCTGGCGTAAAGGGTGGCTGATAAATTATGCACACAACAGATGGGCTAACAGTCAGTAATTGTATACCAACAAACTGCATGTATATGCAAAGTGTACCTGATAAAATGGCCAGTGAGTTAGTATGAGGTGCAGACATGTCTTTTGAACCGCTGTACATTCAATCAGGTGTATCCAAACTGTGACTGTACCTTTAGCTGCTGGTTGTCAAGCCTGAGCTGCTCTAGCTGCTTGTCCAGGCCTCTCCTCTCCTCCTGCAGGGCCTCCAGAGGCTTTCTCATCAAGTCAGTGCTGTTCTCCCCTTCCTGCAGCTTCATCCGCAGCACCTCCATTTCGGCCCACAGCGTCTGCACCCTGCCCTGCGCCTCCTCCAGTTGCACCCGGGTTTCCTGCGCCTCCTGCTGCTGGAGACTGAGCTCCCTCTCCTGCATGTCCAGTGCAGCCTGGAGCCGTTTGGCCTCCTGGCTGCTCTGCTCCTGGGATCACCACATATAATAATTCCACATACCATTCTGATAATGGTCTGACACAGCCAGCATAGCAGAGTATTCAAAAATTCAATGATTCAAAATTAAATTTTGAGGAAAGGAACAGATCAAACCAAATTTACACAATATCAGAAACCACAAACATGTCTACTACAAAGGAATACTCAAGCAACTTCAACCTAATCAATCATTTCAAAATGTTTCCCTGTACTTAATAATAAAAAAAGAAAACTTGTTGTCTCAATAATAATAATTTACATTTATATAGCACCTTTCACAATTCCAAGGTCACTCCAACCAGACTTATAATAAAAGCCAACAGGCAGATACCCCAGCATCTGAATTAATCAATCATACATTAAAGATGCAGCACATAGAAGTTAAGCTGAAAAACACTGGAGCATTCCTTTAATAACTCAACACTGTCTGAGACACATGTGCAATGATTTAGGTACACAGTTTGAACAGTGCTAACTGGTGGGTTATTAGCCTCCATTACTTATTAGCTATATTAGCCTTGTAGCACTAGTGTAATTCTAAAGAAGCAACCAAAGACCAAACAGGTTCTGGCTGACAACATTTGGAATAAGGGGTAAATCAGGTAAATTACACTTTTTATCAAATTATTTGTAAAGCTTCACCATGTACGATTTAGGGATTTGGAGACCCCTCTAGTGGAAGTGTGTAGTTGCACGCAACGTGCATATGAACATTTTGTATCTGATGATTACGAGTGCGTTATAAGAGTATTCAAAGAGAACTCAGTCAAAACTTGGTGACGGACCTGTCTTCTAAGGATGTAAGTGAATATCTACTATCGTCATCATATCTTCAATATCATGTTGATGTTACATGAGACCTAAACATCAAGTCATACATTCTTTTTCAGTATGTGTATGTGATGTTAATATGTAAAGATATATGACACGATCCAGACAGCCCTTGCCAAATTTGACCCAACACCTCTGACTTTAAATGACTATTTCAGGTTTAAAGAGTAACTCACAGCAGCACATGCACACATTTTTCCCCTCAGTAATGTTACTGCTTTCAATTTTAACCAAAAACCTTACAATAGTGCAGCTGTAAGTAGTAAGTTTTTACAGAAGTTACAATGGATACGACTATATATATATATATATATATATATATATATATATATATATATATATATATATGAAATGTGTGCATATGTATAAGTATTCATACTAACATGTCGTCAAAATAAGCCTCTAACTGTAATCCTTGTTTTCATGGATTTAATTCTCTTTTTCGCTGTGATATGGCTCTAACAGTAGCCAATAGTTTTCATTTGTCTGTTTCTCATTTGTCTCTGATATGCTTCTAAAAGTGGTCATCAGCTATCATTGATTTACCTACATACTTCTGTCCAATGACTTTATCCGTAACTCATACTGTGTTTGTCAGAGACTAGCTGAAAATATATTGCAAAAATGTGCATTGACGATCCAATGATGCAACCACCTTGGTCTAAATCAGGTGGCTTTAGATAGTCCTTGCCGGGATAAAATAGTTAAAACATGCACTCAGGCTTTTCCTTCTAACCTGTGTGTCCTCATATTTTTGGCACTGCTCTTTGAGGGAGTGGACAAGGCTCTCGAGTTGATGGATGCCCAGGCTGCGCTGCTCCAGCTCATGCCTTAGGCTTTGGACAGTGAGGCCAAGGCCTGTGTCCCTCTCCCACAGCTGCTGCATCTGCTTGCGCTCCACAGAGAGCTCCTCTGCAGTCTGACGCAGTTCTTTCTGATGGTCCAGAGAAGCAAGCAGTGACAATCATTTATTCTTATTGGTCAAATTTTCATATTTGTTAAAGTAGAGGCTTCAAATTCCAGTGGTCTGCACAGTACTGTGATTTCCCTAGTCTAAGACCCCTGATAAGAAAAACCTACAATGTAGAGCCACTACCTTCCTAATATGACCAAGAAGCAGCATATACTCCTCAATTGTCAATATTTTTACTGCTGTGTCTATTGGAAAATCCTCATGTTAATACTCTATCGCCCCCTTGAGGTTTACAACTGCCACAGTTTACAAGACCACATGTTAACTATGTACAACTCAATGTGTTACAATGAGTTGTCATTTACATTTTTATACTTGTGTTGTGTTGTGTACCCTTCATTTATATCATTTCCAATCAAAATGGTCAAGAACAATGGACCGGTCACCCCAAACCTCAACATCGCTGAATGTGTCTGGGATTACTCAAAGCAGAAAATGCAACCAACTTCTATGACTGAATTTTGTAGGTGTGGAAAAATATCTCTGCAGATTTCTTTGAAAAACTGAGAGTAGGTCTCCTAAAAAGAATGGAAGCTGTAATAATGGCAAACCGTGGACAAACTAAATACTGAAAAAAATCACCTCTGTGTAGTTTTTCCTGTTAAATATAAGTTTTCTGCTTTTTTACTACTGCTATAAATTTAACAGGATGTACTTAATGGCTGTTCTGACTGGAAATTAAAAACAGAAGGGTGGTCTTTCATTTGGAAACACTCTACAGAATACCTTTGAACAATGTCTTTTGTTCTACAGTTAAATGTGCCAAATGTACAGAAGTGAAATGTGTGTTACCATAAGCCGACAGAGCTGGGCGTCTAGTTCCTCGGCTTGCTGGAGGGAGAGGTCTCTCTCTCTCTGCGCCTGGTCTTCCCGTGAGTGAGCCTGAGTGAGCGACTCCTCCAGCGCACTGACCTAATCAATGAACAAGAGATTCACTCACTTTCTCAGAAACACACTTAATGACCTCCATATGCTGTTTTCTTTCACAAAATGTATGGAAGCTATCAAAAACATCAGCATGTGTCTATTGGATTGTTTACAGTGTAATGCTCTAATTCAGCTTCTGGGATGTTGGGTGGGTTTGTGAGAGGTATGGGTTGTGTTGATCTGGATGTCCTTGCATTACTTTTGCCTCGTAGGTCTGCTGTTTCTCCAGCAGTTCTGAGTGCAGCATGGATAGAGAAGACTTCAGATTGCTTATCTGGGACTTGTGCTGGGAAGTCTGGCTTTCAACCTGTTCTCTTTTACAAACATAAAAATGGGGAAAGAGAAAAAGAGTATGATGGTGTGAAAACTTCAACAAGGAGGCATTAAGTTAAAGATGATTTGGCAAAATGAGATGTGCTTCCTGCTTAGATCTGAGAAGTCAGCAGATCAGCATGGCTCTTACTGCAATAATTCCACCTGGAGCTGCAGATTGGCTGCATTACTCTCAGAACTACTCAGTTTCTCGGTCAACACCGCCATCTCTTGGTCATGACTGGTAATGAGCTGCTTCATTCTAAAACAGAAAAAAGCAAGTCGCACAAAAAATCTGTATTTACTGCCTAACTTTTCATATCAGCATTCTTTGGTAATAACATGCATACCTCCACAATTGTACATATAAACAGCAACAACAACAACAACAACAACAATAATCATAATAATAATAATAATAATCTCAAAACTTCACACTTCTGTTACACAACAATTTGGTTTAGATGTTTAAATCAAACAAACTGTCAGCTGTTTTCAAAGAAGAAGTTCAGTGCATACTTCTTTTTCTGCTCATGTAGAAGACATTCTGTTCTCCCCTGATCCTTTTTCTCAAGGTCTTCCAACTGCCTCTCCATCTGCCAAATACAAAAGCTGTTAACAATCAATCGGTTCATTCCTGCCTACATTTGCACTAATGAAGGTTAAAGTCATGACTGGTTCAAAAATCAAATCCACAGAATTCTTTAGGGATCCACAAACATGGGCATTCTGGGTTGATGCAGATATCTTATGTTTTTCAAGTATATATCAGCTGATGCAGATACATAAACATCAATAAAATGTAGAAATTGGGACTATACCCGTCTGATGAATCTGATATCATTCCTAAGCATTCCTATAATCCTCCCTTCACCCAAAATGCAGTCAGTCAGTCAAAACATTATTGGCCAAAGTAGCAAACATCTTTATGTCTGAATAATCTAAAGCAAGTCTATTTGAGTTTGAGTATTTAACAGCTAAACTTGGTGTGAGGGAAGTGTCTGATGATTCAGTTAATGCGAGGGTAGCTTTACTGTTCCAGTACAGGGGCGGCTTTAAGGTCCATTACTTTTTAATTATGTGACCTTCATAGTGCCGCTCCCAAACCAAAAAAAACAAATTTGGGAGCAAACTTGTCTTAGCTGAGCAACTACTTTAGGGGTAAGAAGAAAACTGCGCAAATTTCAAAACTCAAAGTTTAAACTTCATTAATGCAAATACAAAAAGGTACCAAACCTTTGATTTATGTTGAATATGGCCTTTTAAAAAACTCAATAAACCATTTTTGGTAATAAAAGATATGTAGAAGTAAAAGACATGCCAGTTGTAGTTGCTCCTGAAGGCCACAGTTCTCATTCTCAAGGTCTTGTAGTGCTTTCTCCACTGCAGGTCCCAGCAGAAGCTTGCTAGGGCTAAAGGTGCCATCACAGAGAAGATAGTTGCCCTTTCCACTGCGCTTTTCATAGTGTGAAAGCCTGAGGAACATGTCCTGCAGCATTTCCTCCATGGTCTCAGCTCTCTTGCTGAAAGCCTTTGCTTTGTCCTCAGCTTCCATCAGCTTCTGCTCTCCTGTCTGCTTTAATGAGTCCAGCTCTTGTAGAGCCCCCTGTAGCTGCTCCATTAGCTCAGACTGCTTTCTAGATTCCTCCATCCTGTTAGAAGATATAGTGAAATTCACATATACATTAGACAGAACCACTGTGCTTTTAGAATTCTTCAATTACAAACATCTTAGATTTTTTTTTACCTTAAGTCTATCAAAGCATCTTTCTCAATTTGGCTCTCGTGCAGTTTTGTCTGTAACTGGATGATGGACTGACGGAAATGAAATTTCTGCTGCTCATGCAGCTCATATGTCTGAAAGAGTCATAAATTAAACAAGTAACATTAAACAAGTAACAGCTAGAGTGTAATATCTTGCAAACTGACCTGATGGGCTTAATAAATGCCATGAAAAAGTGCTAAAAAGGCCAGCATCCTTTCACTCTACTGCCAATCTGCAGTTATGGTTCATGTCATGGTGTGAGAGATAAAACAGAGAAGATCATCACCACAGAAGGACTTGCTCTGGCTACTGACCTCTCTTAGCTGCCTTTGAAGGTCAGAGACCTGCTGAGAATACTCCTCTATAGCCTGCTCGAGAACATCTTTTCCTGGAAAGTTCAAACATCTTGCTATGTTCACATCCACATTGTTTATAACAGGTCGAAGGACACACTGTTGTGTGGACAGGCCATGTTCAGGGGATGTTTCTGATGTTCCACCTACAAGACAAAAGCCTAAATCATGTTACTGTTCATGTAGTTAATTCCATCTTCAGCATATAAAGTTAATGATATTTACACCCAAAGAATGGTAATATTCTCACTTTTCGTAGAACTGCAGTTTACTGGTGTCTCTGTGTTGTTAAAGGCATGGCCCATCCTCTCCCAAGTCAGTCTGGTGGCCTGTTCAACTTCTTCTTGAAGCTTTTGTGTCTGCTTGGTTTGTCTCTCCAGCTCCTCACTGTGAAGTGTATGATGACTCTGTTTAGGACATTAGCCCATATCCTACATTCTTCTTGTATTTTATTTCCCCCCTGAGGTCCACTTATGACATTTGTGTGGATTTATGTTCCTGAAACTGTCACAATTCATTTTTACAAGACAATTTTATGACCTCTGTTCATCCATAAGGATTAAACGGGCTCAGTTTTACAGTGCTTCTGTTACTGTGCTTTAAGTGCAAGACGACTTTGTGTAGGTCATCGGTCTGGACTATTGGCCCTCCACACTTTATCATGTAGCTAGTATATGAGCTAAACTAGCTTAAGTATTTACATTAAACAAGCCGAAACAGAAGCACTGGTGCTGATTCTGTGATACTATAACGCTACTAACAATCGACCCAGTCAATATTAGCTAACTAACGTTATAATTTACAACCCATACCTCAGCATATCCAGACTGAAGCTGTGTTTTTCTGGCATGCTTTCTTCCCAACAACCTGAAATGTAGTCTCAGATTAGTCAAGTTGAACTGTGATTACTTCATTACTTACCTAGCTTAGCTAGTTAGCTAGTCTTGGCTACTCGGCTAAGTAAAAGATAACGGGAGAATCAAGCTCCCAGGTAACAGATAAGATTACTGCTGTACACAAACCACTGACTGCTTTCTCCTAGAACATTTATTATGCCTGCATGTACAATAGAGCTGAACTCACTCAGAGAAAGAGTAAAAAGTAAAGAGTTCGGTTGAGTCGGTTCTTCCCTCACAAACGCCGCCGCGTTATCACTGCATTCATCCGATGAGCAGAGGGGCTTCTCAGACTCGCTGGCATCATTCAGATGATCCGATGACATTCTAAAATCGTCCTGTGTTTAGTTGGGATAAAACATATAGCTCATAAAAATAACTACAAAAATAACAGTGATAGTCAGGTCATTGTTTTTTTTTTGGGTGGCCAAATGTCTGCAGGCTAACTTTGCAACCAAACTTGTCTGCTAGCTAACGCAGCTAACTTAGCTTAGCCCGCCATGGTTCAACTGGCACAGGGAAGCCGCATTCATCACCATGGCAACGAGGAACTGAGGCCGTGCAAAAACGTAGCACGCCGCTCTCTGAACCACGTTCATTAGTAACAAAAACAGCTGAATTTAATTAATTTATTTAGTCTCTGCAATGTCTTGGCAATAAAAAGCCATGTCTGCTCTTTCTGATGTTGTTGACAACTTATGTCTGTAGTTTATCTCTTTACTATCTTTACTATGGATATATGAATATGAATTTACTCTCTCTCTCTCTCTCTCTCTCTCTCTATATATATATATATGTGTGTGTGTGTGTGTGTGTGTGTGTGTGTGTGCGTGTGTGAATGGATTCAAAAATCTGTATCAACAATATTGATAACACATATAATAATACATATAATATTCTAATATTACTACTACTAGCAAAATGACTACTGTTACTCTTAATATACTATTCAAAAGCTTAATATAGAACCAGTTTTGTAGCAAACAAATTTTAGATGTGTCCAGAATGGTGAATAGAGCTGTAGAAGATTCTGCGTATATGTGAACACATTCTGTTATAGGATTCATATCCAGAATACATAAAAGGTGAGGACCTCTCTACAAGTAGATAACTTGAAAAATAATGAGAACAGATAATTACAGTGTATCATTTATCATATAATATTTTCCTGTTCACAAAATCCTATTTCCTAGATCCTATTTAGATTTATTAGAAAGTGTCAATAGCGTTGCTGTTGTTGTTTTCATGTTGTTTACTATTTACTGGCTTAGCAGGACTCATAGGCTATCTATTCTCCATAATATTTTTGTATCTGTGATTGTTTTGATGGTTTATTACATAAAGATAGCGCTATTTTATAAGGTTTGAAAGGTTTATTGTTTTGCATATTGTTTTATTTAAAAAAAACACAGTGCACACTAATCACTGATGGTCTCTCTCTCTCTCTCTCTCTCTCTCTCACACACACACACACACACACACAGTACACTATACTACATGGATGGGTGGTCTATTCCCACACACTCCACCTCCTCCTCCTCCTCTTCTCTTGTCCCTTTGCCAAAAAATGTGAAACGCAATCCTGGTGCCAGGAGTTATTTTAGACCCTCATGATCAGTTCTACCTCCATACGAACATGGACGGACCAGCAGAGCGGCTCAGCGGCAGCAGCAGAGACCGTCGGTTTCACCTGCTCCGAGTAAAATGAGGGAACCCAGCCGTCTCTGTTCACCCCTCGTTGTTGTTCTTCTCCTGGCCGTCCGTCTCCAATGTCTCTGCCGGTAGTCCTGCCCGGGTCCTGCTGTCGGTTAGCCGGGGCTTCTCTGGCCCCTCACTTCGCAGAGCCATCGCCATCTTCCCGAGGCCGCAGCCGCTGCTGCTCGGCCGCCGCTCGGTGGCGGATGTCCGGCTCTCAGGCGCGGCTCTCTCCCGCGCTGCTGCCCGCTCGACCCCTGCTCTCGCTCGGGCTGCTGCAGCTGGTTCTCGGCTGCTCCATGGTGGCGCTTTCTTTCGGGGCTCTTTCCCTCAGCAACTCGCCTCCTATCAGGAATTCTTGTCCGTTTTGGGCAGGGTCTTCAGTGAGTATCTCTCTGGACATCGGCTTAATTTTCAGTGAAACGGTCTTTGCCTTTTACACTAGCCGGCTTTCAAATACTGTAAAGAAGCTGTGTGAGCCAACAGGTCTTACCTGTTTGTATGTCAGGTAAAATGACCTCGGGGTCCATGTAGGAATATGTGTTCTGAACTGTATGTAAAGCTTTGCTTTTGTGTCGGTTAGTGTCTGCTAGTTGTCTATAGTACAGTATGTCATGCTTCAGCCTATGTTGCATGTAGTTCCTACAGTAGCTGCTTCCAGTTTGTGCTTGATTAAGTTAATAAGGTGTAGTTCTCAGTACATGAACACAAGCTACTAAATCTGGATTAACTACCTTCAGTGATCTAATGCTTGTGCCATGTTTCCCACATATGCAAACATTGAGAAGATAGAAAATCTTGCCTTATAATCAATATTGTGATACAGTAAACATTAATAAAACTATAGTGGCCAGCAGAGTCCAGCAGTTGTTTCTGTTCAGTGTAAGCAGGGATGCACCGATACAGGAATTGTTGGTCAATGCCGATATTTTTCATGTACATATGTGCCGATGACTGTGTGTGCAGATTTATAAAATGTACAAATTGGTACAACCCTACCTGGATTAGCAATACACAGAGAAATGTAACACTTGTAAAGTTGTAAATAGTGGCGGGCTATATGGAAAAAAATAATGTCAACAATACATTTTCACGATACACAGTGTGTATCACAATATTTACATTTGGAGACAAAATGCTGTAGAATTTAAAAACTGCTATTAAATTTTGATGTTATGCATCCAAGTAAACAGAACTAATTATGCTCACTTTGTAATGAAACTTGCACATGATCAGTGTTCATCAAGTACTGATGATATCCAGGATATCCTTGGAGGAGCATATTGTTTATCATGATAATGATAAAATAATGTTATATTGCCCACCTCCAAGTGTCATCTTTAAAAACTGCAGTCAAAAACTATGTGGACAGTGATTTTGATTAAACACTTCAGACACTGTGCTCCACTAAATCCAGTTAAACAGGACTAGTTATGATCTTTTTGTAATGAAACATGAAGTTGGTCAGTGTTCTTCAAGTACTGATAAGATCCATAACATCCTCGGAAAAGCATATTGTGACATAATTTATCACAATAACAATGTATATCATCATGTTGCCCACCCCAGTTGTAAATTGTATTTGCAGTAAATAAAATATCGGTCAGGTCTAAACATATATCCAGTCAAAGATTTTTTCCAACTATTATCAGCTGATCCGAAATGATTCCAATATCATTGCGCATCCCTGCCTTTAAGTATTTTGGTGTATTGACACACTGAGAGCACTGGTCAGTTAGTTACTGTCGCAATCACCACCTGACATATGTCATTTTCAGGATGCTAAAGGTGTAGCCATTTACTCAGGAATGATAGTAATGAGGTAGTACTAATGCGGTCAGCCTGGCTGTCAGGCTTATGTTATTAAAGGAATTTTCCCTGTACCCCAAATATAGTTGATTGACCAAGACATTTGGTGTCTGAGGTTTGCTTCTGTAGTTTTGCACTGCAGTATGATAGACTGGTATAATAGAAATCCTATGTCACTTAAAAAGAGTTGAGTGACAGAGACTTCTATTACTTGTTAGCTACTTTAGCCACGTAGCTCCAGTGCAAAATGGAAGAAGCAAACTTCAGACAACAAACTTGTCTTGGCCAATTTACTATATTTCTTGTTCCAAACTCAGTGGCAGAACTAATATATTGTCACTGTCAAAAAAAAAGAAAAAATCTCAAAATGGCACCTTTACAGAAGAGGGCAAAAATGGTCCTAACTTTCAATCTAGATTAATGTAGAGACTTTATTCCAAGTAATTATGAAGCATTTCTACTGGTCCATTAATCTGAAATGTTCCCACAGTATAAAAGACAGCTAGTGTGTTCAAATGATGTAGAAAAATAAAATTTGAAAATGAAAGTAGAGATGTCACATCGTTTTGTAACTTTCTCTAAAATGACTAAACGATAATGGAGAATTTCCGTAGAATTGGCAGAACCACATATTAGAAGGACAGATGCGAATTAGATATAGGAAGTGGTGGTCAAATCTTCCAAAGAAGAAAGGACATTTAGATGATTTGGAAAGGGGACCAACCATGAACAAAGATATCAGACAGAGTAAGACCAGAGCAAATGAGGAACAAAAAAACAAGGATGTAAAAGTGTTAGTGGCCATATGGAGATGTCTAATGCATCTGCTGTGGCTACATTGCATAGTTAATCTGTGTGTTTCATGCCGTCTTTGCTGAATTAGCTGATTCTGCTCTCCGCAGGTCATCCTCTCGGGGATTATCGGCCTCACAACATGGAAACGGCCCATGCTCCTGCTGGTACGTGTCTCGGGGCTTTAGTTTCTGACTCTGGGGTTGACATGCACTCTTAAAAATAAAGGCTCCTAAATGGTTCTTTTCCTGGACATACATTTGTTTAAGGAAAAGCAAACTTTGATTGGTATAAAACCTTTGAATTATGTGGAGGTTTTTAAACTTTAAAGATATTCCTCACCCTCACACAGCTCATTTATAAAAAGAGCCATCCTCTGAAAAGTTTGTTAGAGAATCAAAAGTGGTTTTTCTATGACATCACCCCAAAGATCCCTTCTTGGAAGCTTTATTTTTAAGAGTATAAACAGCATGACAGCTATTATCAAAAAGGTTGCGCTCCTTGTCAGTTCATCACACATTCACACATGATCTTTAAAGTTCAATAAACAGTAAATATGCAGTTAGCCTAAATCAGTGCTAACTAAAGCTGGAGTATCATTTAATCCAATCAGTGGAGAACACTGTATCTCCTTATCATGGATTTTGAATGTAACCCATTAGTTGTTAGTGAGTGAAGACCCTGTGCTGACCTCACACACAGGATCTACGCTCAGCAAGCCTTCAGTTTAGACCTCATTAATCTAGCCTCAAGCTGTCCATTTTGTCTTTAACTGTGGGATCAAAGTCTGGTGTATGGGTGCATTTGTATGGGTTGGGTTTTTGTGCCGGGTGCCAGGGGTGGGGGGGGTGGTTATCTGTTCCTTGAGCAGGTCAACTAGGCGTCATTTAGGATCATTTTCTTTTTGTCAGTAAAATTGGTAAAGCTGCAATCTTAACTTGTACAATCATCTGCAATTTCTGCTAATTTGCAATAATGGCTTATAATTATTGATGGGAAAAAAGAACTTGCCCTAAACCTTTGTATGACGCATTCATATAGTACAACAGTGTCTTTTTGATGAGTTTATTGAAGTGCATAGAGATCATATTCTGACTAATGTAAGTTAATAGAAAGAGATTTTATTCCAAGCGATTTTGAAGCATTTCTATTGGTCTGTTCACCAAATTTTCACACAATGTAGAGGGCAGCTGCCCTGTTCATATGAAGTAGAAAAATAAAAATGGGGGGAAAAAAGATTTTTTTGTGATCTTTTTTTATGACCTCTTATTTTTTTTACCCAGTGGAATCAGCAGTGCTGATTATTAATAACTCTCTCTGTCTGTATTGCTTAGGTGAATCTGTTCGTGTTGCTGTCTGTGGTGTGTATTCTGCTGAACCTGGCGGGGTTCATCCTGTGCTGTCAGGGAGCTCAGCTGGTGTCCAGCACCATCAACTGTCAGCTGGTGAGAGCATGGCCTGTCTGATCTGTTTCACAGCCCCAGTACATATACCATAAAACTACCACGACTCGTAATCAGGTGCTCCAGGACAGAATCTCTATCCCTGTTCCACCTCCAGCCACGTCTGTTTAGCACTAGAAAGCAGGAAAATGTTTAATAAAAAGCAGTGAATTGGAAGCCAACTTCAGCCTCATGGAAGAAACATGAATCTCAGCAGCTGCTTCTACAGTGCCACATTTAAAAAATACTACAATAATAATAATAATAATAATGAACCTGCAACTACAGTGATTTTTATTCAGTGTTTTACGAATTGTGCTGCACTAAATCCGATTAAACAGGCCTAATTGTGCTCATTTTGTAATGAATCATGTAAGTACTAGGGGTGGTGTGTCGGTGTGTCGGTAAAATATCTTCGACGTGAGCAACATAGCGCGAAAGCCCTGTTTCTCCACGACTGAGAATTGGCCTGCAGACTGGTCACCTAGCAACGAGGTTTCGCCGAGCGAGTAGCGAACGAAAAAGGAAGAGAAAGACAGACGAACATTTGGAGATGAATGGACTTATTCGCATTTATAAGCAGCGCACTTGGTTTCCTGGTACGTTAAATCTGCACCGAGAGACTGTCAAGATGAAGTCGCTTCTCTTTCTAATTTTCCCGTTCCACCTTAAATGGTGCCGCATTTACCTTCGGCGCCTCAGTCAGAATTTAAGGTGGAACGGGAAAGTTCAGCAAGAAGCTGGAGAATGAGAAGTGACTTCAGCCTCGTAAAACAGCGGAAAGCTGAGAGACATTTTACAAGAAACTGTTCAACTTTTGAGGAAAAGTCTCTCTCTCTCTCTCTCTCTCTCTCTCTCTCTCTCTCTCTCTCTCTCTCTCTCTCTCTCTCTGGAGACTCCTGACCTCACCATCTGTTCCTGAATCAGGTGCTGCTTTCATGGACGTTTTACATCTGGTCATTTTCTGTGCCTGAAGGTCAGATCTTAACTGGGTTGCTGTGTCCGCTGTTCAGCATCTCTCTGTTGTCCTGTTAAATAGGTTATTTCGTACAGTAGCTCTTGCTGTTATGAGGCTCAGTCTGTCTTTATCACTGAGCACCATCGTCTAAATCAAGACAAATAGGTTCATAAAAATAACCAGCCTTAAATGTCTGTGTGATCACTGCTTTGTACAAACGGCACTGGTACACTCTTAAACGTTTGTTTGAGTGAAGGGCTGCCCCCATTACTCTTAAACATTCAGAAAACAGATAATTGTGTTATTAGGGATGCTTCGAAATCGATACTGGTGTCGGGTATCAGCCCAATACCATGCTTGTTCACCTGTATTCAAACTCATACAAATACACTGATACTAACATCCATCACCTGATACCATGTCATATAAGCCTAGTGTACGTTGCCGCGCTAATGTACGAACCACTCAAGCTGGCAGTGAATGATGGTCTGCTCACACAGTGAATTGACACGGTGGCAGTCGGACGCAAAGTTGTTAGTCACTTCAAAATTGTTCCCTTGCAGATTTTCACTAGAATTTCACTGTACGATTTTAGTTCATTTTAAATGCACATAGTCACAAACACTTCTCCAATACGAGTGAGCACACATAGGCTAACAAAATGGAGGCATAAAACTCGACATTTAGTACTAAGTCCATAAATGCCAGCTTTACTCTGATTGACTAAATAGAATTGTGAGGTATAAAAGTTAATATGGTGTTTTTTAAAACTGTCTCTGTAAAATAGGCTGTAGAGAGACTGTATTGCCCTAGCACATATATTTCAGTGTACAGTATGTTTAGCTAAGATGCTGTAGGTCTGTTTCTCAGCGTGTTTGCTCGGTACTTGGTGCACAGAGTGTTATTTTGAGTGAAACAGCTTCATTGGAAATTGTCCATAGACACAGCTGTCTGTGGGGGCTGCATTTCACATAACATGTCAATCACACTGAGCATTTCTGTACAGTATAAATCATAGGCTTTGTCCATACATGATGTACTGTTCAGTGTGCGAGTCACCAAAGAACAGTATTGTCTGGCTTTAGAAGACATTATCACGATAATGATAAAATATCGCCATATTGCACACCCGAAATAAAAAGGATGTGACTCCTGCTGTCACTGTGCTATAGAAACTGTTGCTGAAAGAGACAGATGAGAAGCAAGAAAACAAAACTATGAAACATACTTTACTTACAGTTGTACAGAATTGCTTTTCTTCCTCTCTAAGTAACATAGCTAGCTAATGCATGTCATTTAAAGTCAGCTAGATTTGAGTGATTTAACTGTTAAGTTACATTGCACTCATTTACACCAGCAACTACTTAATTCATTATGGTGTTGGACTCTATATCGGTGAGTACAAATGCATCCTTATGTATTATACAAGTATTACAGTTGTATGCACAGGTTTGGGCGTCGCTGGTCAAATTCAATAGAGAAATTACGTTTTGTTGATTTTCTAAGTGAATTTTCTAAGTGAACACATCCTCTACAGAGAACACACTTCTGCACATTTTAAAGCACTATTTAATTGCTGACTTTAACATATAGGAAAGAAACATAAAATTTGACTCGTGCAAAAGTTATGGCACATTTTATATTTTATTAGTTTTTTTAATGAGCAAAAAATAGAAATTGTTTGCTTAAATTTGCAGAAAATGTCATATTTAAGTTTGTCTCTTATAGAGGATGTGTTAACTTATATTTTCATTTTCACATTTTTCACAGAAAATAAACAAAAGATGTAATTTGAACAAGGGTGTTCAAACGTTTGCATACGATTGTACATGTAAATATATTAGGGGTTGGTAATATAGCAAGAATATAACATCATGGTATCAGTACATTTCCACAATACACAAGTATCATGACATTTAGTGTTTTTCTGAGGTTTAGATAACAGACAAACAGGAACAGACCAAAAAAATCCAATAGTGCCGCATCAAAAAACACAATGATTTTTATTCAGTATTTCATTGCACGTTATCCCATATTATGCCAGTAATTATGCACTGTTTGTAATATATATTACATTTTTTTTTTCTTCTTGTGTTTGTGTGTAAATGTACAAACACACACTAACAGTATTTATAAATGGTATCTATTTTCAGTTAAATTTTACTACATTCATTATTGATTTATTTTATTTTTTTTCCTGCTTTATTTCATTTGTATTTGACCAAATTTTATTTCCTTTTCTGTGTCTTTGTTTGTTTTGTTTTTCTTTGTTTTTCAACTTTCCTGTAAAGCACCTTGTACATCTGGTACTTTTTTATTTTATTAATTTATTTGTCAGGGACAGTGCCAGCCAATTAATAAACAGTATCAACCGAGCTGTAAAAGGCATATTACTAAGGTAATATGTAAAGTGCTACATAAAAACTGTTATTATTGTCATCATAAAAAAGCAATGAACTATAAGGATATGCATGTTATTAAAAAGATATTAAAAAGTTGGAAAGAGAGCAGATGTTAACAGATGCAGGCTAATGGAGTGTTTCATCGTGGTGTATTCTGCAGAGCGAGCATGGTGATATCTGTAACTGCTGTGCTGATAGCCCCAGCAGCCTGTGCCCGGAGGAGAAGCTGATAAAGATTTATCCTGGCCACTCGTGCGGGACAATGAGAGTGCTGCTCAAGGTTTGGGCCGAGTCGTTAGTAACGCTACATTACCGCTCTGTTCCTCATTAGGAACGGCACATAACTGTAGTCCTCCTTAGAAATGTTTTTGGCTGAATGCAGTTTTGTATCTGTTGGAGTGGTTGTGAAATACTGTATGTTATCAGTTTGAGTACATTTACAATGAGTAATTTAAATATTGTGTTTCTTGGTTGCAGAAAGTTCTGTTTGCACTGTGCGCATTGAACGCGCTGACTACAGCAGTGTGTCTGATCGCAGCTGCGCTCAGGTACCTCCAGATTTTCTCAGCCAGACGGCCCTGCACGGTAAGAAACCACGCAAATAAATTCTATTAGCGCTCCATTTCACTCCTAAACACTACAGTGCTAGAGTACGAATAGTAACATGAATTCTCTCGTTATGGGTGTTATCAGTCATTATGTGTTATGAGTCTAATACAGTTTGATTTTATGCTATAAAAATATTTGTGACAAACTTGGAATGGTTGCCAGTGTTCTGATAAATACAGTGATATATGATAAAATACAGTGTTGATCCTTAGGGCCTTATAAAGTAAAGCTTACTGTGAAAGAAAAAATCCATGTCTGTATTTTTACTTCATTTTTCTTCATGTTTGTTTTATTTAAACTCTGCGATTATTGTTGTAATTCTCATTGTGTTTTTAATCAAACAGAAGGCTAAAATGCCCAATGGAAAAGTATCCAAGAATCCTAGAATTTTTTTTCTCTGGTATGTGGGTTGATACAGACAGGCAAGCTCTCCCATTGGTTAAGACTTAGGGAACTGAATTGAAAGCCTAACCTTTCAGATTAATCTCTAACATAAGAACTGACAGTGGAATCAGCCAATCACAGTTTGATTTCTAGAGGGTGGGACCAATTGTGTAAGAAGAAACTCTAGGCCTTCTCAAAGTCCTACGTAACTGACTGCAAGTATGAGCAGTAGTATAACTGGTTGTTAGAAATAGAAAACAGTGGCAGCGCTGTGCCAGAAGTCACTGTAAAATGAGGTATGAGGTAAAATATATGTTAATATGTCTGTTACAAGCTTCAAATAAAAGCTGTTTTACAAGCCTTAAATGTCCATGTTTCATACATAATGGTCAAAAATGTTAATCAGTGTTAGCTTAGTGCTAACATACTACTGAAATCCCATAGGGGTGCTAGCAGAAGTTATTGTAGAAGGGTTTTTCCCCCTTGTTTTTGACCAGGTTTTCACATTTATGGCCCAGCTGTAATAGTCACGGTTCGCCACGTATAGAACCCTGCTAAAGCCTGTAAGAAACAACCTGTGTATTTAAATGTACTTTTCTTCTGAGAAAGTTGCTTGTTTGTGTTAAAGGAGACATATTTTCTTTTTATTTGTTCAATGCCACATGCTCAGTTGTGAAGAGTATAAAACAAATAACACCTTAATTCAGTCTTTGCACAGTATATATCTTCCTGTCATTTACTCCTCTGTGAAGAAAAGATCTTTTTCTGAGTGTTGATGTTGTATGCTAATGACCACTGCTTTCATTGGCTATCTAAGAGGAGGGTAAGAGGTGGAAATTTTGTGCGGTAGTAGAGAACTCAACAATGGCTGCAGCGGTGCACGGTATAGAAAGACCATAAATCAAAGGTGTCCATTCTTATCCACAAAGCCTGGTGTGGCTGCTTGTTTTCATTCCATACATGTGTTTAATCAGTTGGTTTCAGTCTTCAGCAACTGATATGGTGAAACAGCAGAAACTTCACATTTCACAATTTTGTAGTTGGTAGATACAGTGACAGATATTGAATAGGTGAACTGACATGGAAAATGCAGTTTTGTTTACTCTGTTTTAATTGTGCTCTCTCCAGGTGCTCTGATAATAAAAGTAAAAGCGAAATGAATGTTGACATTTTCTATTTCTGTATTGATATATTGTATTGTGGAATTTGTGTATAGTTACATGCTTTCTGAATGCAGAAAGGCTCATACCGAAATGGGTTCATTTTTTAAATGCCAAAATATAATCTTATTTACACAGTTCCCCTGGACACTGTCCATGGATTTAGACAAGCTGAAAGTTGTTCAAGGGCATCTGGTAACTCAGGCCCCATGCTAAATTGCTGAACTGCTGATGCCACTGTTCCTCTCTGGCAGGAGGAGCCGCGGAACGTTCCAGAAGAAGGAGAGGAGCAGCGGCGCACCCCTGATCCCGAGGAGTTCGTAGCTCCCGCGCCCCCTCCTTCATACTTCTCCACCTTCTACTCCTACACCCCACGGCTGGCACGCAGGTAACACAACTGTTCAGTCTCACACACTGCCTGGTTATCCTGCCTGGCTCTCCAGTAGATTTAGGTGATCTATTGATATAAGCTGCTTTTAGGAGCAGAACAGAACTGAGTATGGGAGTGATAAAATCAAGTTGATGTAGTTTCTGTGAAGCCAGCTTAACCTCAGCTGAGGTCATCTCAGTCCTTTTTTGATTCGCGCAGTATCAATTACATGTTTGGATATACCTGTTTTTTTGTCATCTTAAAGATGTTTTGATTTAAGGCTTTTGCCTAAAGGGGCCTAAAATCTTGAGGTTAATATGTTATTTGTTATGTGCATCACATCCCCCTTGCACAACGTCATATCCCTCAGCCTCATCCGTTTGACAGAATTCATGATTTGATATGGTTTTTATGTTAGCGTTTATCAGCGTTGTCTCACCACAATACCCAGCATGCATTACATAAGTATATCATGCGACCATAGGGAATCCCTGTGGTGTCAGCCAATCCCATCTACTAGCCACTGATCTATAGGCTAATAAATACGACCCAGCTAGCATTTAGTAACTCTTACTTTGGTCGTCACACAAAATTGTAAATAAACAGTGATTTTTCTTTATTTGGCACAAAATGGATGGCATAGGCAAGGTTTTACCCATTCAGCCAGAGAAACTGAGCCAGATTTAGGTCCATTGTAATGACAATTTGAAGACAGTTGCCAGTTACACATTGTTCAGCTTCCCTGTAGTAATGTTAATTGTCATTAACATGTTAATTAATATTAATGTTTTTTAATGGGGGGGGCATTTAAACTGACTCACTCCCAAAAATCCACCCCAAAGCAGATGTAGTTTTTCAAAAGTTTTCCCATTTTCAGGGTGCATCATCAGAAAGGCTTTTCTGCTCTTTAAGCTCGAAAGTATTTACTTTAGAGACTACAGCAGCACCATTGTAGAAGGCGAGTAATTCTGGCCCTTTTGAATGGTAAAAAATTGTTTTCTGAAACAAATATGAATAACAAACTTTATCCCTTACGTATGAATTTATTCCAAATTAAAATATATATATTGCTGTTGTTGGATCAAAACCTCATATCTCCAAAATGAGAGCTTCCCAGAGAAGGAAAAAACATACTTTACTTTTAATGTAAGTCAATAGAACCAGACTTTTTTCCAGGTAATTTTGGGTCACTTCTTTTGGTCCATTAATCATGAAATTTACACACAATGTAAAGGGCAACAGACATTTTCAAATTATGTCAAAACTGAAAATCGACAAAAATTTGTTCTGACAGCAGCGATACATATTTTCTTAAAGACATTTAGAAAAGCATTCCAGGTGGCTCTTCAAGAAGCTGTTTGAGCGAATGCCAAAACTGCAAAGCTTCATTAAGGCAAAGAGGGGTTTAGAAATTACAGTATATAATCTCTGTCCATAGTTTAAATGTCTTTACTGTTATGTATGTGTAAAATGTGTAATAATAACAATTCATGCGTATATTTTCCTAAACTTTTGACTTGCACTGCAAAAAGTGCTGCTTCTGAAACAGTATACTGTGATATATTGCTACATAAACGTTATGCGAAACGATTACACTTTCATGCTGTGTTATCCTCTTTGCTGTTAGTGGTCTCATCTTCTCATACCAGCTCTACTCCTTCTCCTTCACTCAGGTCAGGATTAGAGCTTTATCTCATTCCACAAACACACACACACAAACACCCCTGCTGCCTAACAGATGCAGCTGGATTTAGCAGCTGTGTGGGAGGCTTTGCTCTTTGGCAGAACAACCAAGAAAAACCCTTCAGGAGCATTCCATACTGTGGAACACTATATAGGAGCTTAGTAGGGCATTACAGTGTATGATATAGAGCAGTTGTGGAAACTGGTTGTGAACCTGGCTGCAGATATCTCTTCAGTCAGGAGAGAGAGGCCTGCAGTAGATTCTGGTGTTTGTGGTAGAAATTAATATTGGATGGTATTGAAAAAACAATGTATACTGATAATCATTGCTAAAATATTTTTCCAGCTGTCATGATAAGTTTGCATTAATAAAGTTAATGAACTCATGCTTCCTAGGTATTGCTACCTTGTGCTAAAGGAATGAATATTGACATAACCATGCCATAAACAGATTTTATTCACTAAAGACAGCAGTGTTATTTACCATCAGTGAAAACTGTCATAACAGATGTTGTAATATTTAATGCTATGACAGCTTATGTCACATGCTAATTTTTTGCTAAGTGTGTTCTAGGTAGCTATCGTGACGTCAAACATCATTACATGTGCCATGATAATTTACGGTAATGGTAACGTGACATGGTTATATTTCTGGACATGATTTGTCATGACAACTCATGACAGCATATGCCATGCCATGATATGTTTATGGCATGGTTATTTCAGTGTTATGGGGCAGGGATCAAGGACAATATCACCAGCTGACACAGTTTGTTTTGGGATGTTTTCTCTTAAAATTACACCAAAGGAAACATTACATAGCACGTTTCTACATGGCAACAGGGAACTACTTTATGGCATATAAAGTTGTCATGAATATAATGCGTATTTTCTGTTGATATTGTTGTCTGTCAACAACACCATTATACAAGTATAGACAGTATATCACCCAGCAGTAACAGTAATGCATCTGTCTGCTTTTACAGGATGTTTGGGGACAGTGTGATTCCGCTGCCGCATATATACGGGGCGAGGATCAAAGGAGTGGAAGTTTTCTGTCCCCTTGACCCACCGCCCCCCTATGAAGCCGTTGCTTCAGAAGAGAGCCAGCCCGTACTGGTAATCATGACCATCCCTGACCTGTTTCCATTTTAATGATATTGGTGCTCCTTACACTGTCATTCAAAAGTTTCAAATGTATATTCTCAATATTATAGAATATATGCAGATAGAATATGCTAATATGCTAGTCCTGGACAGCTGGACGGTGGTTTCTAAAAAGTGACTATTAACATTTGAACTGTATATATCCATCAATCAAATGTGAAAATGAGTAAGAAGAAAGAGTTACAGAAGACGGTTCTGTGCTATTATGGTATCACTGATATCTAGATCAGCTGACCTCTCATCACCTGCAGTGATTTCTCTCCAGACCCACTAACAAGCAGAAGGTGCTGTAGCTTGTTGGCAAGAGCTCAACCATATTAAGCTTTGGCCTGCTTACCCGACCCTGTGTGTTTATATCAGGCACAGGACTCTGAGCTTCAAGTGACAGAGCTGACCGAGGGGCTGTCCCGCTGCTCTGAGATGAGCACCAGTGATGGTAAATAACACCTTTTTCCTCTGTTAAGCACAAAGCACAGACAGATGTTGTTGTCATAGTGCCTTGATTTGTTAATGTAAAGAAAAATCCTTGTAGTCAGTTAAATCATTTGGCCGTAGTTTAAAGATACTGACACTGAAGCAGATCTGAACAACAATCAGAGAAACACTCTATAGTTTATCTGTATTCATGCCACATGATTCGTGTTCCCTTGGGCGGAGACTGCTTATTATAACAGGACTGCCTCTGTATGTAGCTAGGCTATAACTTCACAGTCATGTCAGACGGTCCATCTGCAATTATGTCACTCCTGTATAAAAAGAAATGTATTTTAGTGTCCCCATATCTAATTTCCATGTCCATGCTTCGTTTTAATACGTACGGGTCTACAGGCCAGTGAACGAACGACCCACTGACTTCCAGTAAAATTAAATTCAAACTGCATTTGTCTTTTTGTATGAACGTGGTGACCTCTGTCAGTATAACACACCTTTTTAGAGCTCTTTTAGTTTGACTTGTTCGTGTTCAGTAGGCATCTAAAATTAGCTAAATGGTCAGCATTGGTTGCTCAGCATAAATGGCTTATATCCTACATTTGTCTTGTATTTTTTCTATGTACCAAAAAGAATTAATTTAACATGACTATTTCCAACCTGTTTTTGTCCTTTATAATTAAACAGGGTTTGTTACTGTGACCTGGGGGCTCTGTTCTGATTGGCTGCACTGTTATGTGCCTCATTTAAATAGCAGACCAGGTTGAAACACTCCTTATAACTTCTGTGTGAATGGATGGAGCTAAATAAACCGATGTATGCTGGATAGGCAGATATTTGGTTTTTGTGACATTACAAAAAAGCTGATTTCACCTGGCAGTTTAAACATAGTCTTTCAAAGCCTTTAAAATCATTTTCACTGTAAAAGTGTGTCTGAGTCTGTGATTAATTTTATCTATGAAAATGGCCATGTGAGTTTACATATGGCAAACTTATAAATTGGCAAGTAAAACTGCCACTTGTCAAGTGCCTTATCATTGTATATCAGATTACTAATTACAGGCAGAATCAATTAAAACCATTAAAATAACTGACTTTATTTGCTGCCATAAAGAGTATTTATTGCCATCTTGCATTTGTTTAGCTCTTTGTACCTGCAGTTCCATTTAGACAACACAGTGAGGTATGCTTCATCTCATTAAATCTGGGCAGAAGATCAGCTGCTTTCACTTTTACATGGCCGCAGGATGTATATTAAAGAGAAGGCTGTAAATTGTGGTCATGCTCTTAAAATGAATGTTGACAATTAAATATGACGTGCTGGTTGTGTATCACTCAGACAGGTGCCTGCAGACATCAGTACAGAGTTCAACACCGCCATCACAGCCCTGTCAGACTCCCAGCACAGCCTCGTCCAGCAGGAAAACACACAGACAGCGCCTCCGCAGGTCCAACAGCGACCCTGTTCTCCTGGACCTTGCTGCCAAAGGTATCCATATGTCATATAAATCATACACAGAACATTGTTCTGCTATGAATTACATGTTCTGGAAAATTTTAAAAGCAGGTCCTTGTTTTCTGCGCAGAAGTAGGTAATAAATTGTATCTGCTTGATTGAAATGTATAATCATTTCCACATGAATAAAATATATTACACCAACACAGTTACTGCCAAAAGTAGGTAACCTGAAAAACAAAGGTGACCACAGGAAGTCAAAAGTAGTCTTGGTGGTCAGTGGGTGCTAAGGCTTGCTATCAAAATTTAGTACCCCTTTATGGTGCTGACCAAATTACTTCAGTACTGTAGAGCAGGAGTGGTAAACACAACAGGGCCATAGAAAATATATAGGTTATATAATATTTAGATTAAAAAATCTTAACAAATCTGTGAGCCAGAGAACACCTAGATTTTTATTTCATTTTTAAACATTTTGCTGTAACCCAAACTGACAGTTGTTTATTCAAAATATGCCAAAACATCAACAGCAAATAATAGGCACTTGCAGTAGACCTTGAGATATCACATGAGAACTTGAAATATTAAAATATAAAAAAAAAAATCTATTTTCTTTGCTGTTCATTAATTCTTGGGAGCTGCTAAGTGTCTGTATTGGTTGACCACAGCTAGTGTGTTTGGTGATATGACTGGTGTGGTGTAACCGCTGTCCCATAGATTCCTGAGGGAGGTGGGAGTGCAGTTTATGTTGCAGTGCATGCTGGGGATTGTAGTGCAGTGCATTGTGATACAAGCTAATATTAATACAAAATTAAAATAATTTCATGGGCCAGTAGGATTGTGTTTGGCATATGAGCTATAGAGCGTTAGAGGTTCAAAACCAATCAATGCTTGTTCCATACTACAGGCTGGTGATTGACAATGTAAACAGTCTGTTGGCACATATAGCAACTGTGTGTATAAACGTCCTCTTCCTCTTTTATCTTCAGCTGTTCAAAGCATAATTGTCTTTCAGTTATTGAAGTTGGCATCAAGGCAAATATCTGTAGCAGTTTGTGAACAATAACCCAGTAGCAGCACATTTGTCGACAAGGGCCTATTTGCGCCCATCTTTAGGGTGTGTTTCAGGGTCAGAGGTCTGGGTCTGACACTTCTCATAGTAAATCTTGCACCCCCCTCTCTGTCTGTCAGCAGCTCCATCAGAAGCATTTTAAATATAGTCCTTCCTCTTTCAGTATCACTGACCGAGGCCTCTGCTCTTTGGCACTCAGGCAGACATCTGAGGAGTGGATGAGTTTGCAGGCCTGTTAAACACCCTGCCAGCACACGTTTTCATCAACAGGCCTCACTGAACACACACGTTTCACACACAAGTTACAAGAAGAAATGACCTGCAAGAACATTTACTTCTCTTTTAAGCTATAATAAAATGCTTCGCCTACAAGGCTAATAGCAGTAACAGTGCACAGAAGCTATTGAGGGTAATGTGTTAGTTCACGCCAAATGAGCTTTCATTCTTGTTTAGCGTTTGGAGTAAATTATTCTTTTGGAGATTTTGCTATTAGGGGTGGGTGATATGGTATATGATATATATGATATGATATGGTAATATATCATTATTGCAATAAATTGTCATGAAAAACATTTGAAAGGATATTGTGAGCATTGTCATTATTTCCAGATCTTAATAGCGTGCATCATTCAAAAGAGATTTAGGGGAGACTTGCAAAGTGGCACATCTGTCTCTAAGGTTTCACCCTGTTGTCAGAACATTGTGAGTTTGAATCCTAACAATTCAAGAATAGCCGGAGCATAATTGGGCCCTGCTTAATTCATTCATTCATTCATTGCTTCTTAATATGTGAGGAAAAAAGTACTCATTTTCGATAGCATTTATTAAATGTGGCACTGCTTTTTTATTGTGTCAGTTCCAACTTATAGCTATAGTTGTTTTTTCTGAGGTTTGATATGTATTTCCCTGTTTAAAAGTTTGGTATGACTTATTATTATGGTGTTTTTTTATTCAATACTAACTTTTACAGTGTAGAATGAAATGAAGGTATTTAAAGATGTTTATTATTTGTGAACAACATAGTTATTAAAGGATAAATAACTGTAATTATCCAGGGTTAGGGGTTAGGGTTAGTAGTACTAGGATTTGTAGTAATTCCCTGTTAAGATTTGATTGACACTTTTTAAATATGAACATGCTGGATATTCATTTTAGTATAACTTCATTCTCAGTGCTATACGGTTTTCTATATTAATATGAAATTGTCTACAAAATCATCAGTTCTGAATAAATCATTTTTTCTAGCTTCCTAGAAATGATCTGACATCTGTTAGAGTTACAGAGCACTGGCATCATATTAGAGCAGTTTTTTACATGTATCCTCAACAAATTAGTTGATTCCAGACTTTTGAATGATAGTGTATTGTGTATGGTAAAAATGTCTTCAGGTATGATGAGCCTATATTTTTGCCATATTGCTCGTTGTCTTCCTCACTTCTCTCTATTTCATGTTTCTTTCCTGTTCCCCTGCAGTAATGAGCTGTGAAGCAGCCACACAGACTGAAATAAGTCCCGGGACAGGGCCAACCGAGCAAGCCACTGTCACCCTGCGACGGGGGAAGGGTCTTCGGAGGCCACGTCCCGCCTCCATGGTGGACTACCAGAGCTACAGGGACACCAAGCTGCTGGTGGCCCGCTTCCTACAGCAGTCCTCGTGCAGCCTGACCCCGGAGGTCCAGGAGCTGATTAACAGCATCAAGACAGTGCTGCGCTCAGATGAGGAGCACATGGAGGAGGCCGTACGCTGCGCCAGTTTCATCGACCAGGTGAGACACAGAAGAGACTAATGCTGTGATTTAGACCACAAAACAAACAAGGACACATCAAAGCCCATCTCTTCTATAGCAGCCCTGGTGTTTTTTTTCTTGTGGTAATATTTTCACAGTCTAGATGAAGTTTTATTTCTCTAAACGAGTGAACGTTTCTTGTATCAGTAAATAGTTGTAGCGTAAATGTGTACGGCTATGGCAGCAGTATTGAATGTACCCTGCATTTGTGTTTTTGGTTTTACTTCACACGCATGCAATTTGTGACAGCAAACATACATTCATGACATCCTGCTGGTGTGGGTTCATGCTATCTAGAGGTGGGCGATATGGCTAAAATGTAATATCACAATACTTAAAGAAGTTTTCAAGATACACAATATCATGATATATATTTTTCCTGACATCTGATAAATGTAAGTAATAAATGTAATAAATCTGATAAACATAAATAAAAGAAATAGTGCCACATTTAATATGTAAAGATGTATGTTGGGCTCCAAAAACTCCCGCCAAATCTGACCTGACAGCTCTGACTTTTAAATGATTATTTTAGGCTTTACAAGGTGTCTCACAGCAGCGCACACACACTTTATTTTAGTGTGTAATACTACTTCTTCCAATTTTAACCCCCAAAAAATTACTTAGCTTTAAAAAACATGTTTGAAGCAGTGTTTGGGGCTTCTTTGCTTTGATTTTTTGCTTGACAAAACTGTAAACTCGGTTATGATATTCATGCTATTTCTCACAGCATACGATCAAAACTGTCGTATTGCTTAAACATTGTATGTTTAGTGACTCCTGACCCTGGTCTTTGTCTCCAGGTTATCACCGGGTCAGAGAGCGGTCAAGCACCGACAGCCCAGGCTAGGCAGCCACAGCTGGACTGCACCTCCAACACGCTGCCGCTGCGCAAGCGGCCTGGCCTGCTGCACCTGCGCAGCTGCGGGGACCTCAGTACGTTCACTTGGGCTGAGCTGCAAGCCGGGGAGCACGTCCCGCTCACGCTCCGCCTCCAGGACGGGCTCTCGGGCTGGATCCCGCCGGCTGGGGCAGGAGCGCCCACACAGCCTGATAGGAGTGTCCAGAGAAACCATTCTCTGAAAGCTGAATAGACTTACTGTATGAACTCTGTATGAAAGAAAGGAATGTCCAGCCGACACACAGTTTGTGAATTTTTTTTTGTTTATCGCAATTTTATGTTTTTACAGAGTTCAGTTGTGAGTGTTTGTTGGGTCCCAGTGTTGGTAGAGTGGGTTGACCACAAAACTGTGGCACAGTGGAGTTGAGCATTGGCATGCAGCGGAACTATAATTGCTGGATATGAATGTTTTTTTCTTAGAAATAATGCACTGTTTCACCTTAACACTGGAAAATAAGATATATAAATATATGAATTACATTCAGTTTTACTAAATTCCAAAATTCCTTTCTGTTCAATACCTTTAATACAAATTTACAAAATTTGGACTTGAATGAGAACGGAGCAGATACGAGGCTTAGACCACCCCAAGCTTTAATGAGCTGGAAGTTTTTAAATTTGATGTGACCTACAGATCTGTCTTTATTTTATTAAGATTTTTTTAATTGTCCGGTTTTGAGTAATGTTTGCACATTTTTCCTGTTCTAGTTACCGAGCTGAATGTGCTATGATAATATGTCTTATAAACAAGGCAGCTGTTGGTTATAGAGTAAGGCAGAATATCAGTTAGGGTCTCTAATGCATATAGTTTGCCTGCTTGCCTTGTATCAGTTAAGGGTTAAGACATGAAACTTTAAGCCATGACAATCAAATAAATTGTATCAAATAAACATTATTTTTAAAAAACATGCAGTGTTTGAAGGTTTTGTGTGAGCCCATGTGCAGTTAAACCACTATAATCATTTTGTCTTCCTGTTTTTCAGGCAAAAATAAAACAGAAAACTGTTGTGGTCCAAACTGTTTGAGGATGATCTTACTGACGTTTGATTAGATTAAAGGGGATTTCCGCTGAAAACAACAGTGGAAACTGTTTTTTCTGTTTCATAATCCAGTCTGGAACAGTTTGTACTGCTGTCAGCTATTCTTTTACTGCTGAAGCTCAGTGACGTTACATGCTGGCCAGGTTGCTGTCTTTGGAAAATGGGTAGAGGATCGATTTCATACCTTCACTTTGGCTTTATCAACTACACTTGCTCCCATATATGCGTGTAGATATGATTGTCCTTGGTTGATTAAGCCACACGCTTGTGCTCTGGGGAATTCATATGTGCTGTAAGGCATTGAAAGTACAAGGGGGCTCATTTTTCAGATTACCATCTGAGGTCATCAATGTGGGCTTTTAAAATGTGGGCAGGGCTATAAATCAGCAATGTTTAACTCATCAAGAAACTAGTTGAACTCATTAAGAAGTCTGAATTTAATATTTTGTAGCATCTATGCAGCGTTTGTGTCTGCTAAAGGCTGAAGACTTATAAAATTCAAATTATCATGTTTCACAATTTACCCTCATAAAATCAAAATCTAAAACACTACATGGAGCAACAATAAGAACAATCTCCAAAAATTACATTTCTTTACTTCTTTGATTCATGAAAACATTGGTTTGAATTGTTTGGTCTGCTGGTCATTACAAGAGACCATATAGTTCCTCTCTGTGAGCCACATAGTTTCACTGGGAGTTTCAGAGATTTTTGGGGACTTTTGATGATGTTGATGACTAAATCTTCTTGTCAGTGGTATGAATTTTAGGTATTTATTTTACAATCAGGCAAAGGATTCACCCAGGATGGTGCCACGATTGAGCACTTAGTAGCTTTGCAGCATTATTTGTAACATAAAATAAACAAACTTTGTTCTAGCTCACAAGATCAAATACTAAGCCTACGACTTGCACAGTACTATATGTATATATATATATATATATATACACACACATGACTTAACGTAAAGAAGCACTGATTAGCCAAACTAGGTATTAGATGTTAACTACAATTAATTCTGGGCTCCCTCAAGGACAGATTTTGAAATTATTAATACTTTCACATACATAAAATCACTACTTACTGTATTAATATTATTTGTATTTATTCTTATATAAGTTTTTCTGAGCAAAAAGACACGTAGTACCCAGATAAATTGCTTTTTAATTGTATTCCCCTAACAAAACCCTTCGAGTCTTTTGAGTATCTCTGAAATTGTTTATAGAACAAGGAAAAAACAGGAATGTTAATTCAGGTTAATATACTGAGATTGAATTCAAAGTAAGTGATTCGTTATGAACTGTTCACACAATGTAAAGGTCAGCTGTCTTTTTCAAGAGATGTCAAAAAAAAAAAGTTACAAGATTCTGATACGACAGAAATTCAGCTCAATTTCCCCTTTAAGATCAAAGACAGAGGCAGCGCGTGTTTGTACTTTCTCAGTAAGTCATTTATTGTTGTAAATACTGTTACAAACATTCCTGCTATCGCAAAGGAATGTGGCTCAATAATTCATCACGGAAAAGCTAGCAAATAAATAAACATTGCCATTGCTTTACAGAAAGTGTTTTTTTTTCCCCTATTCTTTACCGTAGACATATAGACAAACATAGATATAAGTTTAATTACATTCAGAGCGAGTGCATAATAAACACTACAGTCAAACCCACAGCAACCGACTACTCGTGTTCCTCTCCTAACTCAACAGCACAGTTCTGCCAGGCCCTGTGTTCTACTGTCTCAGTCCACACTTCTATATCTGTCACATCCACATGTTCAAGGTCCATGTGTTTTAATATGTACAAGGGGTTTTCCTTCCTCACTGCACTTCATGACTCACCATATCAAGCCACCTATGGAGCTACAGTTACTTGTCAAATATTATCCCACATAAAAATCATCACTAAAGCCATCAGAATCATTAAAGCTTTCTAAACGCTGCCTGGTTTGTCAGAGAAATGTCCTGCTTTCATACGTGGTCTACAGTGCAGACGTCCTGTGAAACTGAACATTGTACTTTTGAGGTGTGAGGTTGTTTACATTGCTCAGAGTCTCAAACAGCAGCACTGAGCTGTCCATAGAATTTTACTTGGATATAAACAGGACATTTCATTGTTTACCTTTACATAGTACTGTACCTTTTCACATTCAGTTCAAATTCAGTTCAGTTGAGATTATACATACAGTGCCTTTTGCAATGGAAACTGTCACGAATCAGCAACGGACCATAACGTATTAAGACAAAAGAACTTATCGCAATTTCATTCCTACGTAACCCTGAAGCATTTCACACAAGAAATGCTCTAGGATGGAGAGCTATACGCATCAGACTTTTGCACTGCTTATCTTTCTTAATTGTACATACTGTATATAATCACTGAATGTGTATACTGTACTGTATATGTGTATATAAATATATTTATATATTGGTTTACAGTTATCCAGCTGGTTTTGTTTATGGTGGAGTAATGTCATCACACATCACACCCACTACAAGCAGAAATGGCAATGCATACCAATGACATGATAGACCATGCTTAACAACAAAAAAAAAAAAGAAACTGTGAAGTCCTCCTCCATATTCCTCCACAAAAACTATCCACGCAGTAAAAAATACAGCAATAGTAAGGCCAGAATGTTTAGGGACGGGACACACAAAACGATCTGTATAGAAGAGCCACCGCTGGATCCAACACACTTCAGTACCCTTATAGCCAGTTCTGAGGTGCTGTGAATGTAGACTTGTGTCATTAACATTGCAATATAGCATTTGTACAGTCATCTGGTGAAGATCACCCAAGAGATTGAAAACTAGCTCCTCAAGAAGGAGAGTGTATGTTTGTGTGCTCTACAAGAAACTAAACAGTACCACTGCACAACGTGAGTATCTTGTGCAAGACATTGCAATAAGATTACAGAGAAAAACACAAACAAAACAAACAGGTGCTCTTAGAGTAGAGATACACGTACTAAACGTTTGATGGGTTTGTACCACTCTGAGTATTTTCAAATTATAATACTTTTACTTCTAGTCAAGTAGAATTGTGAGGAAAATAAGCTCTCTGGACAAAACTACATGCATCATTTCTTCTCCAATGCTTGGTTAAAGCTGCACTATGTCAGATTGTTTGTTAAAACTGAAAGTCAGGAGAAAAAAAACGTTAAATTATGGTGTATGTGCGCTGTTGAAATAATAAAAGTAAAATTTAAAGGTCAAGAGATTTCAGGTCGAGTTTTACTGACCACGGCACACATCTTTATGTATTATTGTCACACGCAGACTCAAATAGAAGGTCTGGCTCGATGTTGAGGTCTCAAATGCAAAATCAACATGACAATTATACTGATGACAGTAGATACTCCATGTACACTCTCGGAAGACACGTCCTTCACCAAGTTCTGACTGAGTTCTCTTTGAAATACTCTTTCGAAACACTTGCAATTGTCAGAGTACGACCAATATTACAAAATGTTTATCTGCACGTTATGCGCAATTACACATTTACACCAGAGAGGTCTCCAAATCCCCAAATCTTACATAGTGTAGCTGTAAACATCCCTTTGCCTTAATAGGAGGAAAGGATTACACCAAGCTCTTGAGATGGTTTCTTTCCATTTTAGCCCACTAGCTTTGTGCTTCATGTCCAAGCATAACACAGCACTGACATCCCCACATTAAAGGATGACAACTGTAAGGTATCTGTATGTGACTGGTTCAACAGACATGATGGAACACTAGAACAGTTTGACCAGCAATAACAGCAAACCTCCTAATTCTCAATTTGGAACAGCAAGTGAAATGCTAAAATACAAACTGAAATCTGCACCCAGTTAGTAGAAAAGTGGGTTTAAAAGGACAGTTTCAAGTGACCGGTGCAATCCTTACCTGACAGGATTAATGCTGTATTAAGGCAAGGGGATGCATAATTAAGTATTAGAAAAGAAAATGATGCATGCAACTAATTTTTTGTCTAGTAAGCTTAATATACTTTTAACTTCATTGTTTACTTTCATTATGTTAGTGACAGCATCTGTACTGCTTTGCGATTGGTCCCACCTTTTGGACTTTTATGATTTATTGTTTTATGTTAGACCAATAGTTCATAAAAAAAGAGAAGAACAGAATCAAACAAACTTCTGCTTTTTGACAGATGATGCATATTCTGATGAAGTTTCGGTGCTTTTTGTACTGGTGGTTTTGCACTTCTACTCTATTTGTTCCTGGAATGTTACTTTTACTCTCACATGAGCCAAATTAATGACAGTTTTACTTAAGTACCTATCTGCTTTCTACTAGGTAGTAATAATGAGGGCAGCATGCAGAGGCCTGCTGATAGGCCAAGCTTTGGGTGCACAAATGGCTCAAAACCTGCAAAACCTGATGTGCTTATCTCCTCAAACTAGACTCTGTAATAGATGTCAGAGAGCGCTCTATTAATGTAGACTGATAATCCATACTACATCACTTCCCTTTAATCAAATTCCCTGAAAGAGCTTGTGGGATTAGCCCACAGACCTAGATTAAACTTAGCCAAATTAGTCAGGAAATGCACTTTAAAAGTCTGCTGTGAATGATTACAGCAGTCTAAAAATTGGGGAGCAAGTAAATTACATGGAAAATAGGTATCAATAAACAAATTAATAATGTGTTAAATGATAAACTTGAAGTTAAAAGCTGTTACAATTGCATTACATTACATTTACATGTTTAAAAAAAAGGTTAAAAAAAGCTGGTCTCAAACGTGAAAAAAAAAAACAGTTAAGAAAATATCTCAAGGAAAAGTCTGTATACGGCTTATAACTTTACAAACAGAGGTTTCTTCAAATAAGTTTTTTTCAAGTATAAATTCTTCAAACTAAAATAAAATACAAATGTGAACAAATTAAATAGCAATGTCATCCTTAAATATGAAGGGTGCATAAGAAAAATAGAAAAAACAATGAAAAAGCAAATGTTCTGTACACCAGGATAACGTGAAAATTCCAGAAATCTGTAATTCACCACAAAATATCAAATTGCACATCAATCCAAAAAAAAAGAAAAAAACAAAAAGAAAACTGAATACAAATCAGTTTCCACATGTGGATCCTATGCATCATGCAAAACGAAATCAGTGTTGACCATAGTTCTGAATCTTTGAAACAAGTTTTGCCAACAACTGACTCACTTCTAATAATTTGGTCATTCTGCCCTACCAAAAAGACCAACAGAGTCTTTCCATAACATTAAATAAAGAGGTCAGCGTTCTGTTCGACCTGCTGATGTTCCTCTGATGATATATCATGTGCTGAAACGTCTGTTTTAATTCCCTTCTTACAAAGTATGGCATCATGATTTTGATTAAGGCATTAAAAGTCCACATTTTATGTTATATACTGTGAGGAATTCAAAATTTCTTCAGAACCACACAACCATCCCGTTTACTCTAATAAGCCATTATTCTAAGGAATGCACACTTGGAGAACACAGTTTTCACATTTTTTGGTCCACTTTTCCACACTCTTTCTCTAACAGCTGCCCTTTTAAAACTGCAGCGGAACAGAATGAAGCTGGAATGTTTGATGGCTGCCAGGCTCAAATAAATACCAGGAAAAAAAGGAGAGAAAAGGCAAGATCTGTCTGGCATTTTTCCATGGAGAACATCAACATCCACACCGCTTGCACTCACAGCATAGCTAGAGAACTTTCAAACAGGGGTTAAATAGGGCTCTTAAACAGGAGTGTTTAAGAGGGCAGCATATTATGTGTCCAGAAAGTGAGCTCTTCATCTTGGTCTTTCTCTCTTTCCATCACTGTTTTCCTCCTGGACAGTCAGACATGTGCAGAAACAGATGTTCAACACACTGAAGCAAACATCATCACACTGAGGGAAGCTGAGACAGAAAGGGAAAGGCAGTAAATAGAAAGGAAAACTTCATGGAAAAAAGGAGTCATGGTTGGTGGAGCTCAGTTCAATCATTCAGTCAGCAGTCCGTAGGAGTTTAAAGAAGGATTAGGGGTTAGGTGAGGTGAGGACAGGTCAAGAGGCTGAGGGTAGTATTGTGGCTTCAGATGTAAACTGGTTGCTCCTGGGCTGTCAACAAGCGGTACATGGCAGCTGGCATAGTCTTCATGTGAATCTGTTTAGAGACAGAGATGAGGATATGCATTTATTTCAGTGGAATCAACAGCCAGCTATCTATGAACTCCCATCACGTAACGCCAAAAATCAGCTGAGCAATTTGGAGGCAAAACAAACTAAAAAACGGATGTGCTGAACAAAGTTTACAGACAAGAGAGAAAAAGAAAGAAAAAAATGAATTAATTGTAGAAGCTGTTCAAATAAAGACAGCGGGGTCAGTTTCTTTCATTTATCTGCTTTGAAGAAGAAATCTAACAAAAGGAAGTATATTCTCTGCCAAAATGTTTTAATGTAGTTACTGTATAACAAACCTGATTCTGAATAGCTATTAGTAGTTATATAATGCTGTTTTTATTTGTTTACACCTCCTGCTCCTGTCTACTGTGAAAATAAAGGGATTCATTAGTGACAGGTATGCTGTAAAAGGTCTATGGCACATACAAGCCATACACTTCCAAAGCTCCACTAATAGAGAGCATTAATAATCTAGTCCCATTTGCAATATAGACTGGTACGTCATGCCTCATCTATCCTTACCTCACCAACTGCATTTGACAGGATGTGTACAATCTTCTCATGAGGAGTGGCTACAACACTCTGGCCATTGATTTCAATGATGCGGTGACCCACACGGACCCCGCCTCGCTCAGCTATTCCCCCTCTCATAAGGCTGCAAATCTATTGACCAAACAGGAAACAAAGGTACAGTAACAAGTTTAATGGAATGACCTACAGTACTTATTAAAGAATTTCTAAAATCAAACAACACTTGTTGCCTGTTCTGCAATATTACATTCAGAAGATACCCACAATGCCATTTTGCACGCTAAAGCCGAGCTGGTATCTCAGGTCTGGTCTTCTGATGAGGACGGTGGTGACTGGTGGGCATCTGACAATGTTCAGCTTGATTCTGGACTGGTTCTTCAACCCCTGGAGAACAAGACCATTAACAAGAACTAAGGTCAATGTTTTACATCAACGCATTGTTTTTGTATCTACACAATGGCCAAGTACAGAGTGAGTCATTAGCAAAGAAAGAAGATCTCTCGATCTGGGAACAATGAACTGAGGCCCGAAAGAATAACAGGAAAATGAAAAGCACAGAAAACACAAAACATATTGGTAGTTACATTTTTTACCAAATGCACCTACACCTGATATCATATACTGTCCTTGGAATGACACATCACAGCTACAACAACATAGAAAACTACACTGTCCAGTGATTTTGGTGATTCCCAAGACGAAATGCAAAAATATGTACCTTAATAATGCTTTGACAGGTGGAAAGAGGGAGTCCAACAAGGCTGGTGCCATTGATAGACATGATCTGGTCTCCTATATTTAGTCTTCCTGATTTTTCCGCAGGTCCAGCATGCATCATGTTAGCGATAATGACTGTGGGAAGGATGGAGCCCCAGCCAGACTCTACAATCACCACACCTAGAATTTCTCCCTTTTGCTTCTCTATGTAAACCTGAGCAGCACATAATACAAAGACAAAGCAATCATCAATACAGACACTGAAAGATGCTAACAACATCTGTTGACATCACTATAGTACAGTACAGCCAGTCAGTGATGCAGTTTTTGGCCTCTACATAAAAGGCATTGTTCACTTACATCTTTACAGTTCTCAGACTTGGAGAAGTGTATGAGGTCATCGTTGTACATGTCCTGTGTGTTGAGGAGGTCACTATACTCTTTCTGGCTCAGGTCTTCGGGGTTGATGCCATTGGCACGCAAGAATTCTTGGTATGCTACACTGAAGGCTTGGCCAATGGACTGTGCTATGAGCTGTGCCTGAGAGAACAGGGGAGTAAAGAGAAAAGCAAGATAAAGGATGTAAACAAGCCATCAGGCAAAGTCTGTCTGAGAAGTAGATTAAGTTGTTGGTCAGTAAAAACAATAATCTTCAGGGGTTATCAGAATATTTACTGTATAAACCCATGCAGTGTCTTCCACAAACTGTTCTGTAAAAGTTCCCTTATACATATACAGTAGCCCAAAAGGTATTTGGACATTTGTGCCAAACTTAAAAATGTACTAAGTTAACTGTGTTAGGAAACATTTATCTTAAACATACCATTCCAAGTCTTGAATTTTCTTATTGGAAAAGTATCCTTTCAAAATGCAGCTGGTGTGTTTTAAACTGTTATTATTTGAGCATTTCTTTTCAGACTTCTGCAGGTTTGTATCCAAAACATCTTTGTACACATCGGAGTTCACAATCTCATCAATGAACACAAGCTCACTGACACCACTGTAAGAAAACCAGCCACAGACTTTGATGGGTCCATCTCTGCTTTTCAGTAGCCTTAGAGCAAGGTGGTGAGAACTCTTCTCCAGGCTTTCTCCACAAATGTGTATACCAGTGTAATGTTATGCTAAAGGTTGTTCCTATGAAACAAATATAAACATTTTATGAAGTAACCTAAAGAACTTAAAGTTTACCCATGGTTAAATGTTGAAGTGCCCAAATACTTTTTAACATTAAACTGTATTTGTACGTAAAATCAAAACAATTACTACATTTATGTCCTAAAAAAAAGTCTTCAAGATGCTAAAAAAGCTAAACACATTGCTCTGTTAACTAACAGATAAGGGCTCTTTATATCCATCTGGATTCTCCACACTGAATCACAGTACAGATCAGGGGTGATTCAATCAATCTATTTAGGCAAAATGTTACAGGAGGTCACTGCACCTGCTATGTGGAATACGTGATGGTGAAAATGTCAAGCGATATGCAAAGCTTACTTTAAACACAATTAAGATTTTTAATCCCATTCTTCTACAAATTATCTAGTATCTATTATTTAGATATCAAAAAAGATATTGCTAAAAAAGTACCTGTGAAACTACATTGCCATATTCACATTTCATGTTCAGTATGCATGTTTGCCTTAATTAGCATTAATCAGTAATGTATATATTGTTATACACACATGTATTGTTATATATAACAATAAAAACTCATGTTAATAGCAAACTTTTTGGTTCCTCTAAAAAAGGTGGTATTAATCATTTATATTTCTTGTATGGGTAAAGGCCAGTCCCACCAACATATATCATGTAAAAAAGATGTATATCAAAAATAGTCTATAATGCATTTTTGCAACGAATACATATACACAGTACTAGGCACCTAAGCGCATAATTTACCTTGAAAAAAAAAAAAACATTTACCTTGGGAATGTGTGTTTCTGCTTGTAGAAATGTATTGTATCAAATGTAATTGTACATAAGTTTAGAACAAATGTAAAAAAAGTAGTAAGAATTTGTTTTCAAAAAAGGCAGTAGATATCTTGTGAGCTAGCCTGAAAAACAAAATTTGGTTCCAGATTTTTCCACGATGCTCCTAGTCAGCGCACAAGGTCCAGCAAATAAATGCTTGCTGACCAGCTAAATAGCTTTTTAAATCTAAAAAAGCTTCCACTATATATAGTACTCTATGTGTGTGTGTGTGTGTGTGTGTGTGTGTGTGTATATATATATATATATATATATATATATATATACACACGCACAACAAATCTAATGCAAGAGTAACTGATTATTCATATACAACATCTTTCTCCTGTTCACATTTGTAGAAATGCCAACATCCCTTAGAAGTGTCCTTTGCGTTGTGCTGGAAAAGGTCACACTGACAGTTCATTAAAAACTGGACTCACATCTTCAGACTCGAACACGTGACAGATCATCTTGTACTGCCGCTTCTCATCCTGGGCTGGGTCAGATGCCTCCATATTCTCCTGAGAGTCGGAGCGAGGCATTCTTCTCCTAGCCATCAGTACCACAATGTTTCCAATGTCAGCGATGTAGGAGATGGTTCTCAAGGGGTGGTCCATCATGGTCTCCTACAGAGCAGAAGAAAAGTGGAGATCAGTACTGGCTAAGCTGAGTCTGTGCTTTAAACACTGAATGATAAACAGCTGTAAGTGAAGTTACAAACATTAACATGATTATGTGTTTCTGTGAAACTCTTAAAGATCCAACTCGCTATGTTGTTTACAAGTATGTTTTGCATCACACATATCAAATGTCTTATACAGTTATCATATGGCTCAGGCCTTTTTTAGGTAGATATACGGGTGACTCCCCAGACACAGCTACAGACACTATTAGAGAAGTAAACTAGCTCAAGCTGAAATGTGTTTGCTTTCTTTACTCTTAGTAATTAGAGTGCACTCTTTTTTTGAAAATGTTTATATATTTTTGAAGATAACATCATTAAATAAAATGTTTAATGATACCATGATGATATTCTTACATATGAAGCCAGTCATTTTACAAAATCTTTTATTCTTATTACATTACATTACATCATGCATCATATCTGAATCTGAAGAGAACTTGAGTTTTAAAGACTAATTTACCTTAAAAATAACTGCTCTGGCGAAATGACTACTGACTTTTCGTAGCTATTTTTACAAATGCCACCATAATGCTCAAAAGGTACAGCATTCTGATGGAAATAATTGTATAATTTAGAATGATAATTTTTCATTTAATTTTTTAAAATGGCAGGATTGGCATATCAAGACCAAACTTTGAGTTGCAGTTTGCAATAATATTAAATTCTTCAACAATATTTCTATTTTTATGAAAATCCTCATGCCAATAAACAACAACAAATAAATAATAAATATTCTCTTCAGTAGATATTCTCTTAATATTATCATCAGTGTTCACAGCATCATAATAAATTAATTTCTTATTACTATATATGTATCTGCTTTCCTACAGTTATTTATTAGAATGGTTATATAACAGGAAAAAAATTCTCTTTTTGGCTGTGTGTTGAAATGGAAATGGAAATTTTGAGAGTTATACCTGGGAGTCTGCATTGAGAACTTTGATTCTCTGAGTGGAAATAAAAAGATCCACCTCAGTCATGGGCTGAGCTTCACCTTCAGGCGCCTGCTGACACAGAGAGAACAGCACTGATCATCAGTCACTCCCTCAGATGTACACAGGTTAGTCTTATACTAGCCATTCAGGGAGAAAGAAACATGTAGAAATAAGAGAAAGTTAATGAGGCCCAGAGATGCAGCAAAGGAGTAGTATAAATTTGTTTTATAAATCATGACCTTGGCCAGCTTTGAAAAGAATGAGGCATCTTTCCACGTCTGGGCTCATTCATATTAAAATAAGTTGTTAAGATAAATCTCCTTCAGTGGAAACTCTGACAGCCTGAGCATTTATTTCACAGCTGTCTTGCAAGACAAGCAGGCTTGTGTTAGTGTGGTGGTTAGTTTCAGTCTCAATGGGGTTTTAGTAACTCTGTGTGAGAGAGACAGCAGAATTGAAGGGTTTGACAGATCCATACGCTGCTAAACGAGTAAATGACCAAAAGTGCAATGCATAACAAAAGCCGGAGTGCCAGAAGCACGTCTTAAAAAAACACTCACAAACACAACACATCACCTCAGAAAGAAAAGATTTTGGAAAGAAAAGAATGCTGCAGAAACCTGTATTTTCTGCATCCAGCAAGAACGGCTTCCCCCCATACTTAACGAGTGTCTGACCATCTGTTTTGGTGTAAATACATTAATGGCTGATATGAAATGAAACAAATGGAAAACAGACTTCATGGACAAACATTTGACAGGTTTACGGCTTGTTGCTGGATTCAGAAAAATAGCAAACAAGAGAAAGACAGGAACTAAGAATACACAAGTGTCGATACCAAGCAAAAAGAAAAGAGAAAGAGGAAGAAGAGATATAAAAAAAAGCAAAACACCAAACCAATGAGGATTTACTGCACCTTCTTCCTGTTTTTGGCTAATTTCTGGGCCGTCTGCTTAGCATGGAACAAACAGAGACAGGAACATGGTTAGAGTGAGGCAGAGCCCAGCTGACAAAAGCTGCATGGCTGAGTAAGTGTGCTGGACCTGAGACTGCATCTGGCCTACCAACCATAAACCCCGTCCATGGTAGTAGCACGAACTTGTACTTCAATCAGGAAAGCACTACAATTACAGTGAGGTGGATCTGTTTGCCTAGAAATGCAAGTGATTTAGGTAATCTAATCAGCTGTAATTTCAAGTTTTAGCGTGAGACATCCACTATATTTTTGCTCTTGGCTGACTAGTGATGAGAGCTGCACTTCTTTTTAAATGAATGCCCCTTTTTCCCCACCAGATGGCCTACTTGCCCTTTCCTCAAGCGTTCAGTTGGTTGGCAACATTACAGAACATACTGTCAAATAAAACGGTGAACTGCAAAAGGCGCAGAGGAACTCCGCTCCAAATTAGATCAAGAGCTAGTTTGTACTTGCCAGCGTGCCATAAAAATAGATCAAATAGAGCATCAAAGTGAGACTTGCGTCACAGCGGCTCCCGTATCACTGTGTGCGTTTGGGAATCTCTCCATCCATATGCATTTATTTAGAAGTCACAGAACTCTTTTTATTTTAACATGCCATCAGACCATCGTCTAAAACATGAGCTATGGCAGAATGTCACTGCATGTGAATAATTAATAGGTAGATGTGAGTTAGCTCTGCTAGAGGCTAGGAGAGGGTTTTGATAAGGCAGAGCACTAAAAATTATCTGACAGATACAGCAGGGCTTTCACCGTACTAAAATCTCCTCTTCTGTCTCATCATGTGCAGAGAAACAAAAATATAACGTTCACATTCAGTCACACCAAACAATCAAATTTCATCCCTCAAAATGACAGGATTTTACTACTGGTAAAATTAGGTATTAGTGAAGAGGGATGCTTTAGGAAAGATACATAAATACCATTTAAATCTGCTTGGCCTACTTATAATTAGAACATTTTCACATCAGTTGGTGGAGAAAGAGGTCAGCACTGCAGTGGACGTGTTCAAACAAGCTTCATCAGCTGACTTCAAGGTTGGGTCTGGGTTTGTGAGGGTGCATTTGCAAAATAACTGGTGCTGTTTGTTATTCATCGCCTCCTACTACAGCAGTTAAAATGTCACGATGGATTAGCTCTATTAAGGTGGTGCATTTTCAATGTTCCAGTCAGGTTTGCCTCAACTTTAAATGACAAGCTCAAAACAAGGCTGCTCAAGTCCATATCAGGACTGATGAAACAGTAAGGATCAGCATAGAGTTAACCAAAAGCCAGTATGGCAAATGTTTGTGCTGTAAGTTTTAGTAAAAGGTTCAAACCGTGACTGTTATTTTAGCCTCTGCCGTTGTACCAAAACTGGCAGCAGCTCCTGACAGGGGCTTTATTCATTTTAATGTTGTCCAGTTTTCACCCTGCCTGCGAGAACAGCAATATCTGACACTCAGATCAGTTAACCTGGCAACTGAGTAGCTTTCACTTCACAGTTGCACTGTAAGATCAAATTCTACTCCAAACAGAGATGCTCTGATGGTGCCGACATATGCTGAGGAAACACGGAATGGTGGTGCTGGGCTCACTGCATTTTTTAAGGTGGAGATAAAAAATGCTGAGTCATGAGGCTGACTGGGGAGAATGGCTGCCTTATGCCGCAGGAGGATGAAAAGAGGGTGATGTGGCAAACATCTGCAGTCCTTGGGGATTGAGGCAGTCAGTGGAAATTCATCATCATTCTGCAGAGGAGCGTTACACTTGCTGCTTAAAAGACTGTAGTAAAATACAACTACTTTGAATTCCTGTAAAAAGTTACCTTTGTCTCGAATGGCCCTGCACTCCCCTTGTGTTCCAAAGTGCTTGTCAATATACATTTATGACAAAACAGATTAAATACAAAAGCAGCAATCCTCTATCATCTCTCTTCTTTTGTCCTAAAAACGTCATGCTGAGTGTCAGAGCATGTCTGCTAATCCTGACCACTGTTGTGGTGTTTTGCGGAGATAAGACCAGAAAAAGCTGAAGTTCACTCAAGTTCAGTTTCTCAGGATAGTCTGAACACAAAGATGCAAAACCAGAGAGCCACTGCTGTCTCACCTTGATGCGGCTGACAGCCTCCTGAGCCTGCATCATGCGCACATTCTTCGAGGGCGTCTTGTCCGAGAGCAGCTGCGTTGAACCAAGATAGTTTGCTGCGAAGATGATGCCATCAATGAGGTCCTCTGGGTCACAAGGGCCTGGAACTGAGAGACAAGACAATAAGGTTCAAAAAGGTGGTGATGGGATAAAGTAAAGAAATGGAAGAAAAATTCACATTCTTTCCTGAAAACGTAATACTTCACTAAACATACTACTACTACTACTACTGATAAGAATAATAATACATTAAGGTAATAATATTAATTTTAAAATTTTGTTCACAGAGCAATTTTTACACACGTATCAACTCCAAATGTTTTTCAATGAGATAATAAAAGTCTAAAAAACATGGCGTAAACTTTATTGTGACAAAATGTGAAAAACATTCACAAATCTCTAAAGTGGCTCAGCTACAGATATACAAAACTCACCTTCCACATATGTTGGAAACGCGGCAAGGCTTCTCCTTGACTGCCATTTTAAGTATAATAAACAACAGTAAGTAAATGTGTCATCTGTCACAGAAAGGTAACTAAACAGAACTAGACATACAGTATATATACTGACATGACAAAATAGTTGAACAGGAACTAAAATATAAATAATATGTACATATACTACATGTAGATTCATTTTTGACTACATTATTCATGTAGTTATTCCACACACACACACACACACACTCCACTGTTGCCAAAGATGTGCCGCAGATGTTGCTGCCTCCTACCTCTTTGCTGGCAGGGGATGGGGACTCAAAGCTGTCACTCCCCTCGTGCAGCGGCAGGTGGCGGCTGGAAGACTCCGCCCCCTGTGGAGAGGTGGAGCCTGAACCTGGGGACTTAAAAAAAGAGAAGAACTGTTAGCATGAAACACAAAGACAAAACAAATGCACTATAATAGCACATAAAGGTGCAATTATGTAGGTTTGTTTGGTAAATAGTATACACAGAAAATATGTTAAAAAGCAAAAGGATGACAGTGTTGGTTAAGCTGAATTCAGGGGTACAGATACAAAAATTTGCACTGGCCACTAGGGCAACCCAGCAATTATTAATATTTTGGCCAAATTTAAGAATTTGTGGCCAGATTAAAAGAAATATGTTTATTATGCATTGTATTTACAATTAACACACATGCTTCAGACAAAGAAACAGTGAGGTGTTGCTTTAAAAAGAAAATATTTGTTAAAATCTTTACATTAACAAGAACATTGCCATTGAAGTCACTGATCCAGGTTATTTCATTGGGTACTACTTAGTTACTGCAGTAAAGGACTCTCACTGTAACACCAGCTTTATTATATTCAAGACTTTATTTCATAGATTGATATTAGCAAACTTAAGCCAACAGAACAGCATCTATGACACTAGGTGGACCAGCTCAACAGGGGAGAAGACCACAGTTACCACACTCCCATGTTCACTGTCAAAGCAGTTACAGTTAACCAACTGCAGCAAAATCTGACTAGTTTCACACCAAACAGCTTTGTTAAAAGAAAAAAGTATGCAAAAAAGGCAAGTGGCCACTTGGGCACATGCCCTGCCTCTTTAGTGGCCATAATAATCAAGATACAGACAATGTCTACCTATAGTTGAATTAATGTAATAAGCTAATATCAAACAGTTGGGTAGAAACAGTACTGAACATCATAAACAGTGAAGGCGATATATTATTCAAAAACATGCAAGAGCTAACACAGAAAATGAAAAAAAAACACCATCTAGAGTCCCTGGACTGTCCATCAGGCCAGCAGAGCAAAAGACCGGCATCAGCTATTTCTAGATTCAAATCTCACAGATGGAACTCTCTGTCACAGTCATGGGAAATACCACATAACAGCTAGAAAACAAATGACTCACACCTTTATCAACATAAGAGCAGATGAAAACCTTGAAATAACAGCACCATGGATCAGCTACATCTCTTTCAGGAGCATTAAATGCATTTACAATGACTAAATGTTAAAATTACACCAATAAGTTTTCTATAATAAAGAGAAAAACATATGTAATCATTTTTTGGACAAAAAAACATCTAGACACATCTCCCTTCAACAATAATTAACTTTGCTCCTAACCTTGTCACTATGGCGACGGTCTACCTGGTACATCCAAAAGTTCTCCATATCAGAATGAGGCTAGCGGTCAAAATCAGAACAAAAAAGCCTGCAGTTCTTAAAAGATGCACTGAAGAAGTCTGGGACCAAACAAAGAGGCTGACTAAACCAAGTGAGCACCGCTCTCCAGTAGCCTTTACTCGGATCAGGATTCACTGAAGCACGGGACTAGAGAGAGCACTCAGGTCCTGTTACAGCCCAACCCCAAACATGGCTCAGTTCAGCTCTACTGGATACCTAAGCAAATCCGTAATTCTCATCTGTATCACAGCGCATTACTGTCAGCAACAAGGTGGGTAGTTGAGGTGGATGACAAGCCAAAAATACAACATCATGAAGACATTTCCACAATTCATTATGTATTATGATATTTAGCTTTTCTGTTGGCTCACCTGATAAAGAGACAGAGAGAGAGAGTTAAGTAGGGCCAATTATGCTCTCTTGGACTTGAGATCACAATCTTTCAACACCAGAGTGAAACCACAGACAGCGATGCCACCTGTAAAACCCTTGTTAACTCTCTTTTAAATGAAACTTGCGGTTGCACAGCGTTCTATGAGTGCTACAAGCGCTGACAATATCCTCAATATCTTCAGAAATCTTGTGCCTACATCAGAGTTAAAAACAACAGAGACGGCTGTTAAAAAGTGTAGTCAATTTTTTCACTGACCCACTTGATATCATTATGGGTTAAAAGATGACACTAAATACATCACCACACTTCAAGTTATAGGTCAGCTGGCATGGTAACTAAGCACTACTGCGAAAAGCAGAGGCCCACTGTATCATGCCTGTTTCATAAAACTTAACACATAGCATAAGCATTGATGAGAGACTGTGAAAGAAAGCTGTTCTTTTCCTCCTCCAGTGTTACGTGAGTCTCACTGAATTATTTACACACAGTCTCTTTCAGTGTCTCTTGCCAGCGCTAAATAAATTATACTGTGGAAGGAAAAAATAAGGCCTGTGACAAACTTGCAGGGGAATATGGCAACACATGAGAGCAGACAACACAGTAGTGATCTAAGTTCCTTGGAAGTTCCAGGGGAATAAGAGAAACTCTGAGAGGTTTTAAGAAGTGCTTGAGATTTTTCAGAACAGCAAAACTTTCAACTAGTTAAAAGGCATCCTGTCTCAGTGTAAGGGACTGTATAATTGGTGACCTCAAATACAGCATAAAGCACACAAATTTCTTTTTCTGTCTACCAACCCACAAACAACTTGAATGGCAACCGCATGTGTAATACTCATTTTTGATAGCTTCAAACGTAACGTTTCATTCCATATCCAGCATTGCCCTCTCTCCACACCACACAGAAAGTGACGCACTCCCTCTTCTGTGTGACAGTAATTGCATCAAAGCACCAAAAGGCTCCTGCATGCCAGACAACTGGCACTAAATGAAGACTTGTGCTGGTGAATAAGACTCAGACAAATGCTGGTAATTAATTAGCATCACCAAAGGAGCAGTAGGAGAGATCTGGGTACCACTGCAATGCACAGAAGTTGATGTTTGTTCAGTGCAACAGTGTGTCTAGTTTGTTTGCAAAATAGAGCAAGACTGACTACACTAAATGTGTAGCTGAAATTTATTACTGTGTGTGAGGGGGAAAAAGACATGACTGTCCTGACTACCAAGAATGATATCTGATACTATTCAGCTAGGACAAAAGTGTGGAGAGCAGATTAATGACGTATACTCCTTAAATTAATGAACAGTTCAGAGCTTGTGCGAGAAAAGAGAATCTGAAAGATATAAAGAAAGCCAACAAATGAGAACAGAGAAAAACAAAAAGAGAAGAAAAGAATAAGTAAATAAGAAACAAATAAGAATAAGTAACTAGTCAGTTAAGTGCACTGGAATTGTACCTAACCAACTAAGAACAGTGGAATTTTGTAGTAACAACATCAAATGAGCTCTCTCTCTCTCTCCCTCTCTCTCTGTCTCAGCCCCCCCCCCACCCCTTTCGTTAGGCGAGCCCTGTCGTGACTGAGGTAGAGGGCTGCTCCATTTGCATGCACTGGTCATGTGCTGCAATCACAGAATACAGATGAGCCCTGCAGGCTCGGGAAAAGCAAACACGTTGCATTGTATACATCTTCAATTTTCCACAGGCAGACAATTTGGCCAGGCACCACTTGCAGCCTGAAGAAAAGCTCGGGTCACTGCACTTTGAGGATGAGTGATAGAAAAGTGAAGACCCAGGCAGAACAACAAGCCTCCAGAGACAGCACAGTCTAGCCAGTGGATTCTAACCAAAAACAACTCCTCTCCTTTCAGAAAACTGTATATGTTTTGAACTAGAATCAATAAAATGTAAGCCTGTAAATAATTTCACAGATACAAAGATAAAATGTCACAAGGTTAAACTGTATTTTAATTTAATTTACATCTATATTGGATCGTCCACTGAGGAACTGTAGCCCTTTTTTATAAATAATACTCCTATTTCAGGCAACCAGAAGCAACTGGACAAATTATCATATCTTAAAAGTCATGTTTGTTGGTAAATTCTTTGAAGTCAGTGAATGCCTAAAGTCTACAACTCATACACATCTTCCCAGGTGATGCTCTGCCAAGCTTGGAATGCATTTTTGCTTGTTTTGCAGGCTTTTTGCCAGCAGTCTTGAACTCAGTACGTGACAGGCCGCTCAGTGGGGTTCATTTTGAGTAATAAACTTGGCCAGTGAAAGGCCTTGTACAATTTGACCCTACAAAAAACTGTTTTACTTATATGCTTTGGGTTATTGCCATGCTACAAGCACTATGACACAGTAAAGGTGCTTCTGTGCACTTAATAAATCATTGAAGCTGCTGTCGTCAGTTACATCATAAATAAAGACAAGCAATCCAGTTCAGGTGGTAGCCGTACATGCATATGCCATCATGTTTTACAGATGAGCTTTGGATCTTCCCCCACACACTTCTCACTCCATCACTAATTGTATTCAATGTTTATACAGGTTATTATTTGTATTGTCTGTCAGTAATGCTTTGTTTTAGAATTCTGCAGATTTTTTAAAATCTATGCCTATCTTGTAAAGAAGACTTTGTGCATGCTAGCTGGTGTATTCTTTTCCTTTTGGTAGTATCAGACATAACTTTGCCTAAATCAAATTTCTTCATATTGGGAAGTACATTTATACACACACTCTTAGCAGAGTGACTTACAATTTAATCATTTTACAGAGGTAGATGAATGTAACGTTAGGAGTCTTGCCCAAGAACTCTTAATGATATGCCTGCCGGGGCAGGGATCAAACCTCAGCCTTCCACATGGGGGAACAGTAGAATTACCCAGTACACTACACCAGCCACCATTCTTTAGGGAAAGTACTCACTTTTTATCTAATACTGTTTTCTTCCAAGGTCTACCAGGTTGTTTGCTACGGCTAAGCTCTGTTGTGCATTCTGTCCTATTAACCATGTACTAAACATTGACTTTCACACTGTAAACAAAATACATAATCTACTGGAATTGTTTGCTACCCAGTGGTCCCACAGGTCCTCTACTAAACAAGAAGTGTTGCTTCACCTATACCTCAAGGCCCACTAGGCAGTCCACATTTTTGCTCTAGCCTAGCTCCCAGTACGCCTGTAGTGGATATTCAGTGTTCTCAACGGCTTGATTCAGGTGTGTAGAGAGGTGAGTTAAAGCAAAATGTGGGCTGTGGTGTGATCCAAGCATAGGACTGGGAAACACTGTACTGAAGTGCTCAAAAGGTGTGACAATATCAACATGTATTAAAATGGGCCATTTCATGTCATGAATGTCCATTCAAAAAATTCCATTTTATGGAATAAATAAAACATGTGAGCTCTTATGAACATTTCTTAACATGCACATAGAAACACTCTCTTACTGCTGCTGGGGAACACTGGTGCCCCATTCAGTTGGGTCCCTCACCAGCCTTAGTCACCTGGGTGGACTCAAATGCACACCTGCTCATAATAAATGTTCTCAGGCAGTTCGTTTAGTTTGAGAGTCTATTCTGTTCCTCTCAATCTTGATTTTAACTGCTGTGGACATCATTTTATAATGAATGGTCATCATGAAACCTCCTCTGCATGTGTTCTTACTGACACACCATCATCAGCAGCCTATTCCTATTCTTCCAGCGCAAGTGCACTACCTGAGAAATGTTATAGTCCTCTTGGAGCCTAACATGAAACACTTTAAAAATCCTAACTAAAAACTAATTGGAGCACAGCTTTGAAAATATGAATGGCTGCATGAGTTAAACTGAAGGTTTGTATGCATTTTTTAATGAAAAACCATTAAGTAATAGGACAGACCCTATGTGACTTGGTGTGGAATGACCCAAATGGTAGCATCAGCAAATGAGACTGTTAAAAGTAAACAATGAACATGAAACAAAAACTATGATCATGATTATGCTATTTATTGTCTGTACTCACATCACCCCCTAGTGACGGCTGTAGGTCTGACTCCACGGTGGGGCTCAGGTCCTGCCTCATCACCCAGATGGGCTCTTTAGGCTCATCTGGCGTGTATGGCGAGCGCACTGTCCTGGTCTTCACCTCCTCGATGGCCTCCTTGATGTCCTTGATGGCCAGAGAGATAGCATCCCTCTTTTGCCGACTGCTCCTGGCAGGAGCCTGCTCCTCGGAAGGGCTGCCTTCAGGGGTCATACCCTCCTCTCCTTTCCCCTCCTCACCTGGGGGCTCCTGAAGCTTGCCCTCCTTCATCTCAGCTTGCTCGTGGTGCTCAGACTCGGGCCATTCATCCTCTTCTTCCTCCTCTCTGCCCGTGCTTCCGGCTGCATGCTCCAAGCTCTGCGAACTCAGGCTCTCCTTCACCTCAGCCACAATCTGGTCAATGTCCTCGTCTTGCTCGCAGCTGTCAGCACGTGGGTATGGTGCAAACTCTGCTTCCTTCTCTGGGCTGTCCGACTCGCCGTCTGAGCGCTCGTCATAGTGGTGTAGCCTGGAGCCCACGGCCTCCTGCTGCCGGTACGAGTTTCGCTCAAATAGCCGGAAGCCAGCCCGTTGCCGCTGCTGTGCCGTCTGGCCCTCAGCCTGCGTCCCAGGGGCTTCTGGGATCTCCTCGTACACATGCTCTTGGACGGCATAGTCGGCATAGGGTTCAGAATAGGGCTCATCTTCGGCTTGGGCTTGGCCCTCGCGACCTGGCCTGCGGTACAGTGGCTGTGTATAAACGTAGTTGGAGTAGTTGGGGTTGAGGGCCTCAGCGTCATGTCTGGGTGGCCTCTCAGTGTTAGGCAAAGGCTCCCGGGGCAGTGGTGGTGGCTGTGGAGGGTAATGGGGCTGTGCATGGGGCGGTCCTGCTGGCTGCTGCTCTGACTCAGCACTCTCTGTGTATTCTTCAGCCTCAGGCCGCAGAGGGACGCCGTATGTGCTCTCATCCTCAGGCTCTGCCTCCAAGGCCATGACAGCGTCTCCCTCGGCCCGGTCTGTGTGGTTGTGGAAGCCACTTTCGGTGCTGGCTGAGCGTGCCAGGGCATTGCCTCCCTCCTCGTCCTCCTCGGGCTCTCCAGGCTGCTGCTGTTCCAGCCTCTGTTGCTCAGCCCTCTCTGCCTCCCTCTGCTGCCTCTCCCGCTGTCTTTGCCTCTGCTGCTGCGCCCGAAGCCGTGCCTCTGCGTCACCCTGGCGGCGGTAACGGGTCACCGCTGGGCGTGGAATGGGCTGCTGTGCATGTTGCTGCTCCAAATCACCCTCTTCAGGTGTCCTGCGGGACATGCGTGGGCGGCCAGCCCCCTCGGAGCCCTCGTACCGACGGTAACGCTGCGCTCCATGCTGCCCATGGGCATTTTCTCCACCATGCCCATTGTGGTGGTTACGAGAGCGGCCCGAGTTGTCATGCCGTCTGCGGTGAGAGGGTGGCTGCTGGCCCTCGGGGCCCCGCCGCTCCAGGTCAGCTTCAACCACCTCACTCAGCTCCTGGCCCAGCGGTGCCTCCTGGTGGCTCATGGCTTGAACAGGTGAGGTTCTACACACATGGCATCATCTCCCCCAGGCCAGGCTCCACTCAGCTCCAGGGAAAGTCTATAAAACAGCAGTTTTCATCACTATACCACTCTAACACCTCGCAAAACACAGTCACTTTCATTCTATTATAATGTGTGCAAACCAATCCAAAAACATGGGTTGACATAAAACTGCACAAGCAAAACTACTATACAAATACTCCACTTCTTGAAGTCTTATGAGTTCAAGTAGTCATAAAAATTGTCAGAGAGAAGGAGACTGCTTGATGTATCCCATGCACTAGGATAGTAATCTTCATCGACATGCCCTCTGAACGACATCCTCCCTGATTGGCTAAAGCACTACACATTACAAAGAGCCAGACTGACTGGAGATAAGGCCGTCACGTGAATTAGTGAAATCACATTTAACCCACTGTCATGCTGTCTGCCCCATTTTAACTGCATTCATCCAATCATAGCCTCTAGAGAAGAGCACAATTGGGGGGAGCATTGCATTGCTGAAAGAAATGACATAGCTGATCTTCAAGACCGTAAATATGGCCTAGTTCTGTAAACATACATACAGTTCACATCATTCAGCACACGGTGTCCTGCTGCATGTTTGTAGATCTTTACACAAATGCCAGAGAGCGAGTTTCATCTAGCAGCCACATATCTGCTAATACAAAATATGCAGCAAACAACTGCATGAGTCATCTTAATAAATATTTTATTTCCTAGGAGCTGGCTTGTTGTCCCAGATATTGCATTATGGTCATGTCAATGAAGTGTCATAATATTGATATCTTACACTACATAAGTGTGAGTGACTGTGTGAATGAGTGAATCACAAAGGAAGCAACAGCACAGAGCTCAACTGCAGAACATTTTGGCACAAAGTGACAGCAATGCTTTATAAAGCATCTCATCCTGATGCAGTATGTACATTAGATATCCCCAAGGCAACACCTCCTCTTATTAGTCATAGGAGCAAAAACAAACCACCCAGCACATGTACTCACACACACACACACACAAGATCCGCAGAGAACTCTGTTGCCACGGAGATATGCTCCACCGGTACGGCAGCACCGACTGGTGTGTTCACACCAGTGGAAAAATGTGGAATAAGGACCCCCTTTCTTGTAGCAACCTTCACCTCTGTCTCTCCTCCCTAGGGAGACCTCCATATTTTCAACTCAACATCATAGAGTTGACAGAGACAAAGAAGTGTGGGTATGTGTGTGTGTGAGCACATGTGAGGAACAAAGAATCAAGAAAAATATCAGGCTGACAAACCTAACCAACTGCAGAGGAAAGACTGTTGAATATTATTGGTCATTTTCCCACATGTACTGAACAAGCATATTTTCCCCTCTTCCATATGTCCTGAACATGCTATCTTACTACTGGGTAAGGTTTCTTCCTCTTGGTCTTTAGGAAGGTTTTCCATGCCACTGTCGCCCCTGTCTTGCTTGCCTGGGACTAAGACCCTGATTTCTGTAAAGCTGCATTGTGAAAACAGCCGTTGTAAAAAGTACTGATATCACACCATAGGTGTCACTGTATCAGTGGTACTGATGTTCCTATTGATATACAATAAGCTTTAAATCCATGATCTAATGCCTACTAAATAGCTGTGAAGCAGATGTTTTTAATTATTTAAATCTATTTTGTGCACTTCACACATATGATCCAGGACCTGACTGTGGAGGAATTAATTCAATAACTTTATAATGCCAACTTAAAAATCATCTGATTCCATCATGTATTTGTGGTACATATTAGTAATATTGTGGTATTAAATTTGATTAATACTGCCCAGCATAAAACTGCAATCCTATAAAACACAGAATGGATTCTAATAAACACAGACCATTACAGTAACAGGAGATCTCATATTCAAAACCAACATCATGAGCAGACGTGTCCAGGACATTTGTGCATTTGAAGCATATAACTGTTCTTTAATATTTTTTTCCTTTCTGCATATTTTTCAGCACAGAATCAACACAGAAATCCTCGGACACTGCACAAATCAATCGTAAGAAAACCTGAAAGAGGGAGACAAAGAGAGAGAAAGAGAGAGAGATAGGGAGAATGAGAGGGAGAGAGAGAGGGAGACAGAGACAGAGAGAGACACAGAAAGAGACAGAGGGCACATTTCAGGTGCAGTACTAACAGCTTACCTTGGCATGAATACAGATGAAGGTCACAGATAAAGGCAGGGCTTACAGGGAAAAACTGACAAACCGATAAAAAAACAGATCCTGCTGAAACACTGGAGCACCTTCCTGGCCTCTCGTCTCACCATCTCTCCCTATAGCTTTTCCTTCTCTCTCTCTGCCAACAGGCCTGCACTGTCAGTGAGAGGCAGGATGGCAGGTTGGATCAGGGTGTGTCCCTCTCTCTCCATCATGCTTGGCTCTACAGGAACTCTCACTCATACGGTCAGCTCTGAAGGACAGAGCAGCCCGCTGCCAACTGCCCTGCTCCTGGGTGAGAGTGGGCAAGGGCTAAAGGACACTGTGACATGATATGGGCCATCATACAACCTTCCGCAAACATGCTGTGCCTAGGTCAGTATGTACGTTTGTGTGTGTGTTAGGGATGTGCATAGATGAGTACTCGGTTGACCTTTCAAAGCGTCCATATTCAAATACAGAAATCACTATTCAGGTTTTCATTATGTTTCATCACAAGAAGATGGAGAAAACACAGACGCTAACAATTCAGAATGTCGATTTTTATGTTTAAACGGTACTGCTAAATGTGGCGAGTTTACTTGTATTTGAGTAAGTAAATGCATTATACTATTCTTTGCTACTACAAAACACAAATGCCTTCATGTGAGTTTGTGGCAGCCTCCGTTACCCATCCAACACGAAAACCTACCCATTATATAATTATAATATAATTATATAATATATATATATATATATATATATATATATATATATATATATATACATATATACACATAATTTCACAGTGTTTTAATTTTGTAGAGTTAGATATTCATCTGATCCAACATAATTTATTTTAATCCAAACTAAGCCCGCTAGCAAGTGTACTTTAAATGGGCCACAGGCTTGAATCAACCCACACATCAATACTACAGCATGTGCAGAAACTCTTTCTACGAAGGGTGAATGCAGCGCTATAGCATGATGACTAAATGGAAGCAGCTACAGGGCAGCCATTAGCATACAGCACTGCTTATCAACCTTGCTTCAGGACATCTACTGGCCTGTAGAGATCAGATCCAACTCGAATCCACCTCGCCATTTCTGTCGAATTATTGCCTTCAGATCTTCTTGATTAGCTGAATGAGGTGTGTCAGATTTTGTTTGGAGGTGGAACCTGCAGGATGGTAAAAGGGCACAGGCACAACCTACATGCAGTAAAATGTAACATTTTTACATATTTTACCCTGTAAATGGCCAAGGCCCACCAAGCTAAGACCAGCTAGAGTATTCAGCTTAGTTAGCAATAAAGCTGCACTATATCTTCCATCCCAGTCATGTCCTTAACAACATGTCTTTGGCAACTCACTCATGTTTAGGCACTTGCCTCAGCGTGACAAAGTGTAATACACATAATTACTCTTAAATGCAAGCGAATAGTAACATTTTACAGTCAAAAGACGTTTCATTGTCTCTATATTTTCTCTGTCTTCCTGTGCTGAAAGTATTCAAACAATGTCTTCAGCATTCAAATACTGGCACCTCATACTGTTAACTGAGTACTCGAGTACCATTGCACATCCCTAGCCTTAATTCAACCAAAGACATTTCATTTTGGAGGAGGGGCAGACACATAAGCCACGTATTTATGGGTGAACATATTAAAAAGTGGGACTTTAAGTACTGCCCTGGGGGTGTGGGGGTCGCAGTAGCAATGATCCAATACCCCTGCTTGTAGTTGGTGTCTATGACTATCACTAATATCTTCTAAAAATTACTAAATGTTTATTAGCAATATCCCTACTATTTTTTCACCCCATGTGTTGTGTGTAATTTTTGCTCCCACCCCAATTAGCATTGTGGGGCAGACCCCAAGTGAAAACCGAATGAGTTCTGAGTCAGTGGGAAGCGGTGGTGCTGTTATCCGGAGGATGTGCTCATCTCTAACTTAAACACACAAATACAGCCACCAGCACTGTGCTGTCAGCCAGTCCCTTCTGATTAAGCACAGATGCAGCCTCTCTCTGTAATCGCAGGCACACACATGCACACACACATGCTCAGACACACAGAGACGCTCACACAGATTAACACTCAGACACATTCATTCACATACTGGCAGACAGACGCTTACTTCTACATTCATGTATGTAAGCAAACAGAAACACAAAGAAGAAGAGAGAAAGAAAGAGAAAAATGCATGCACTCTGACAGCGTGGCAAGTTTGATTGAATCGTTCCTATAACAGGATTAACACTGGCGGATTTAAAAGGCTAACAGCAGCTGATGTAAAATAGGCCCACAGAAAAAAGGGGGTGGGTGAAGCCTGATGTCTACAATGCACACTGTACCACCGTGGTAGTGTATACGGCTGGGTAGAGGCAATCACTCGTCTAAAATGCTAAGAGGACCATTTTAACTAATCAAGCTCCAGACCTACTTGCTTCAAAGCCGATCAATTCTTCTCACAGAGCCATATGATGCAGACCACATTTTTATACTGTGTGTTGAACATACCAAACTCAACACGCAACAGAGAATGAGAATGACCTGTTGCCTAGTTGATCTACATTATATTCCCCACTGTCATCAGTCAAGGCACATGACTCGAGTCACACACCACTTCGGGACTACATGGAAATATTTTTAGCACATTATCTTTACAGGTTCACAACTTCCAAACCAGGCAAAATTTAACAAAAAATAATAAACACATCCACTTTAGTACACTGGGTTGGGTTGGTGAACTAAACTAACCATTCCAAATGCAATGACACAAATTAGAGAAAAAAAAAAAACCAATGGGGTAGAATAAATTTCTTTCAAAGTATAATGAAGAAAGTTAACAAACCAAGAAAATTCAAATGCAGACCCTCTAAAAAGCCTCTTAAGCAGAAAGCTACTCAAGTAGATATACCACTCCATCTTGTGAATTAATGGATAAATTAGTTTTATATATTACTGTAGGTCAATCAAAAGTCAAACGAATTTTTAACTCTGTCTGCAAAGCAGAAGAAATTCTCACGAATTTCAACTGACATCTTGGGGAAATTTAAAAGAAACTCTTAACAAAGATATATTAGCATACCATGACCAGTGCTGCCAATCAATAGTATGGATCTCACGTCCCTCTGCCCACTCAAAGCCTCTTGCATCTGCCTTCAGCAAATCAAATTTGACCTGCAATTTACCATGACTGGAGAAGCCAATAAAAACCCTCCAATACTGAACTAATTACATTCGCCTGAATAATGAGGAATGCTATGACAATTACACTGCAGGTCAAGGACAGGCTGTCTGGGGCTGCAGACTTCTGCAGAATTACAAAAGCCCTGCCACATCACTACAGTACATCTTCTATGTATTCATGTGGTCATATATACACTCAACTCTCCAAAAACTCGAGGTCTATGCAAACTGACATTTTAAATCCCCTTGCTGTTGGATTTAAAGCTTAGTCAGAGCTCATAGGAATAAATCATAGAGAATGAGGAGTCAGGCTTTCTATGTCTAAAAATCAGAAGTAGTTAATTTATCAAACCACGACCAGATGATTTTTCTGTGGTGATTCACTAATTATTTCAACTTTGTGGAAAGCAGTTCTTCAAGGCCATGTTAATTCTCCTGATTCTTAATTCCATCTTTTACACAGGATACTGCCCTCAGGATATATACGCTGCACTTCTGTTTTTTTTTTTAAACGAGAAGAAGCAATTAAATGCCTGACGGCCAATTCTGTTTTCCGTGAGACCTCCTCAAGGTAAAAAATACTGGCTTCTATCCCTTTGAGGACAGATGGGGAATGTTAATCTCAGTTGTTCTTTTGTGCAGCCTATTAAAGTAACAATATACCACTTCATGTAACAACATTTAAAGCTTAGAGCATTCCTCAGATATTTACTGTACTCAGAGTTAAAGCACCAGCATGTAAATTGCTACAAATGAATCAGGTACAGAAATACAAATCCAATTCCAAAAAAGTTGGGACAGTGAGTAAAATGCAAACAAAAACAGAAAGCAGTTATTTATAAATCTATTTTCACTTATATTTGAATGAAAACAGTACTAAAAATCTTTTTATCTTATTAAACTTGTTTTTGTAAGTACACACTCATTCTGAGGTTCCAAAAACACCCTTGACAAATGTTGCAATTATGGTTCCATGTAAAAAGAGCTTCCAGGAAAGGCTAGACCTTTATGAGCAAGGATGGTCAAGGCTCGCCACTTTGCCAAAAATGCATGAGCAAAAAATCCAACATTTTAAAAATAATACTGTGGCAAGTTCACTCATATCTGCAGTCACCTGCTTATTATACTGCATTCTGCCACTATGAAACAGGTGTGCCTTAATGTGAGCATGTTGCCAAAGCCCTGTTGTTAAGGAAATGACTGAGAAGGCAATGAGGGCGCTGCCCAGTACATGGAGCAGCTTTTTTCACTACCTAGACTAACTAACTTCGTCTAGATGTTGTCAGCTAAGCCCAGAAACAGTATATTTAAATATATTTCTCTGACAAACGTACATGTTGGCACACCTGTAAGAAGAAGATGAGTCCTCATCAGCATGCAGTGTTACACCAGTTAGCTTTGTTAGCCTATTAGCTCCCCTGAAGAGCTAACTTAGCATCTGTTACTCATCTAACGGGAAAACATACTGATTTCCCTCAGCTATTTTTGAATAAAACATTTTAAAATGTGTTCATCTGCATGCTTCTACACCAGTGCTGTCACCTAAAAATAAATGCCTACAGCCCTACATTGTTGTGTTTTCTTTTTTTTTCAGTGATCAAAATTAGTCACAATGCATGTGATTGATTCTCTGATTAAAGTATTCTGATTCTGCAGCCTCATAATGGCCTTGCTGGCATTGATGCTTTTTTGGTCTTCATGGCTTTTTGTTTGCTTTGTGGTACATGAAGTAATGATACACAAAAGATGTAACTACCTTTAAAATAAAGCTGAAATTCTGCACTTTAATTTTAATCACAGTTTCATTCCAAATTTGGTGGGTCAGTTCTCAGTTCTTTAGAAGGTAAATACCCAAAATGGATTACTCTGTGATTATTAAGCATTCTGGTATAGTTCTCACTTGATTCTTATCTTTAAAGGTCCAACTTAGTAGTGTGCATTCAGGTCACACATGTTATCCAATCAGCTTTGTCCTTATCTGACTGAGAAAGTGCATGTTTCTAAGAAAAATATCCACCAGTATTTGTTGCACCTTTGTTGAGACGTTCGAATCTCTGAAGAAGCTTTAAACTTTAAACACAGTCCTCTTTTGGAATACAATTTTGCTAAAAATCAAAGCATCAATTCTCAGTGTCCCATCTCTAGATCCCTACCATTATCAAATGATAAAACCTAACAGCATGAACTAAAATGAAAACACACACCATACCACAGTATCAGCATTCATGAGCTATTCAAGCTGCCATTCCTGAAACCTACAAAGCAACCATTACCTTCCATGATTCCCTCTATATGTGTGGACTCTTTGTACACCCTCATTCAGCTAGAACTCTGCGACACTCTGCAGTTGACGCAGTGGAGAGTGCCTTTCTCTCCTCATCCCACTCCGACCCTGCAGATCCCAGATCTGTGCACTAAGCTGACTGCTTTGCTGTATAAGATGGCAACAAGAGAGGATAAGACTCAAAGCCAGCAGGAATCTAGTAAAAGAGATTAAGTGACGATAACACAGCATTCTGTCCTCTGTCAACTTGTGCCTCCTTTTTGGAGTGTGCCCCATTAAGGGCATGCTTACAGTGCAAAAACTTTGTGATCCACACTAAGCATGAGATGAACACGGATGCAGTGCTACACCTCTTGCTTTGTTAATTAACTGTTAACCTTGGACTTTATCCTTAAAGATAGAAAAGACAAAACAGTAGGAACACACAATCATATACGGTGACAAACATGGCATAGCACATGCTGTCGTATCAGTCGCTACCAGTGACTGGGATAATTTATGTTCTCTGAAGACTTCAAACTAAACGTTATTGAAATTTAAACTTTCAATTACAAAACTTCTTAAATCCCAAAATCTAAGTTCTTGTTATTTAAGTCATGCTTTGGCAATACAGCCCTTAAATATGGTCAAAGTAATAAAGCCTAAGTTACTGAATATAACAGAACTGAACTGGGAGAGAGAGAGAGAAAGCGTGAGATAGATAGAGAAAGAAAGAGACAGGGAAGGGAGCAAAACAGAGACCATGAGAAAAAAGTAGAGACATCTGTTGCTATGGCACTCTTTACGATGGCAACACAAGCTGGAGGTATAAACACCAGTCTCTAAACAGCTGCTGTCCTCTGAAGCCTCGAGAGAGAGAGAGAGAGAGAGAGAGAGAGAGAGAGAGAGAGAGAGAGAGAGATACAGAGATACTGACCACAGAGACAACTTGAGCCATTAGTGATTAGGCAGCGAGCCCTGATACAGTTCACACAGGCTAAATACTCTTGAACAGATTTCAGTGCACCAGGGCACGCCCTAGGAAAGTCAGTCTGCAAGAGATTATTTCACCAGAAGAGAAGTTACCCTTGCACTCTCTCTCTCTCTCTCTCTCTCTGTCTCTCTCTCTCTCTCTCTCTCACACACACACACACACACACACACACACACACCATGAATATCACTCTCACAGCCCTCTGTACTCCATCTGTCCACTTTTAAAGCACAGAAGTGTCTGGGTTTATGCATATGGTATGAGAGATGTGTGTGCTGAGGCAGAGAGAGCAAGAAAGAAAAAGAAAGAGAGGGAGACTAAGAGACAGATAGAAAGAAAAGGTGTTAAAAGAGAAGGTTGCAGGTTCTGTAGGCACTCTCTGCCAGTCCTCCAGCAGTCAATTACTGCCACAGCCTTTCTTTCTCTCTGTCTCTCTCTTTCTATATATATATATATATATATATATATATATATATATATATAGATATATAGATAGATAGATAGATAGATAGATAGCACAAGCATGGCTGCTTGGCAGTGGACCAGGAGCAGTGACTCTCCTCTACCTGCTCCAGCTCCTGTAATGAGGCAGTACCCACCCCACCTCCTGATGTAAGAATCAGCTGGCAGCTCACCTCACACCTATTCACATCTACTTAACACCATACTCTTACATTCGACCTTCCCTCAGGCACTACAGACGTGACAGTTTAATTCTGGATTTTAGACTACTGTCTCACTTCTTCTGATGCCACAGGAAAACAGCCACCTATATTGTAATGTTTAAGTAGAAAGACACACACAGAAAGGCAAGCAGCAAAGCAAGAAAGCAGCAACTGTTGTGAGGACTGGCAGCCTTTACAGAATGCTGGGAAAAATGCCATTCTTCCTAGTGAAAAAGTGTAGCACACAACTCATCTTTTTTCAAATACTTATTTAGAGTGTGATAATAATTTCAAACAATGCTTGTTTTGTATGTGAAAAGTCACACTTGTTATGCCAAATCAGCTTTATTATCATACAGTCAATAGGTAAACGTGAAGAATAAGGCAGCAGTACAGTCTGAATATTCGAAACTCCATCAGGCAGAGTTTTCAACATTCAGACTGGACTGCTATCTTGACCCTGTTAGGACAGACTGGGTGTAATTTCTTGTTATTTAATCTAGCTAAAGTTAGCATGGTAGCAAATTTGCAACCGTTACTATAAAAGAATGCATTTGTAAGCAGAGCGCTGATAAGTCAACAGTACCTCTGTTCTCTTAAGCCCTAATGACCCATATGGGGGCCAACACTTCAATTCACTCTCATAACAACATAACTTACATTTTAGTTTCATAGTAGTAACCAAATACATACATTTATTGCACAAACTCATTCCTCATATGTCAACTAATACGGAGACTTGCCTTCTAGGCTCATCTATCTCTTGGATAGTTGGTGGAGCTGTGCCAGTGGTCAGAGTAAGGAGGGCTGTCCAGAAAGAAGAAGCTGGATGCTTCTTCCTGTTGCCTTATGACAGGTAGAGGAGAGCAGGCTCAGGCAACTCAGCTCAAGGTTAGTGTAGTACCAGACACAGCCATGCACAGAACTGTAAACAAACACAGACAGAAGAGGTAGTTGAAGTTAAAGAGGGCCACTAGAGGTCCTGGAGTCAAGTTTTAGAAGTACCTTTAGTAGTCAGTAGTGCTTAGGCTTCGCAGTGAATTGTCATTCACAGTGACTTTCAGCGTATAGTAGTGTAAGGCGATATACTGTCTATACCAGTATGCTGGTACTGGTGCCCCAGAACAATTTTATTTAGTTTTTGCAGGATTGATCTGTAACAAATCTTAGTTAACTGCACTGTATTTTATATGTTGTGGGCTTAAGACTGCTTTTGTATTTCCAACTGGAGAAATTTGGTTTCTGTCTAGCTAACATTTACAATACTTTGTAGAGTGTTCTTTAAAAGAAGCAGAACAGAACAAAACAGTCCAATCAAAACAAGCTTCAAGTTTGTAAAACTTTCTTTTAGTAGAGGGTACCAGTACTGAGAAAACATGGTTAAATAATTTTATTCATGCAAACTAAACTATCATCTAACACCACAATACATTTGAAAATGTAAATTTTATCAATAACGTTTAGCACTAAAGCAAGTGGTAAACACATTTTCAAAAGAGTTTCCACCACCAGTGAATTTCAGTTCATCGTCTGGCTTTCTAGTCTGGACTATACACAGTTCTTTTCCCAAGAAAGATGAGAGCAGAGAGACTTAAAAGCTTCTGCTACAACACCAACTGAAATCACAGACTTTCATTAGAACAGACCAGACATGGGCACAAACCCTGAAGCACATCTCTCCCCATAGTGCATCTTTACTAATTAATGACACACCAGGCAGCCATGAAGTGGAATCTACAGCGTTTTCAAGTTCTCCACAGTCTGCAGCTGGGCATGGAGCTTGCTCAAACAACAGTGGCAGGCTCACACATCTGCAGTAACTACACTTAAAACTAATGGCCATGTCTTACTGTCAGAGTAATTATGCAACTAGAGCTATGGCATGGAGCGACACTGAATGTATAATGGCCAGCAGGGGAGGACACAGCACCTTTTCATATTGTGCTTTGATGTTAGCCTCAGCATGAGCTAATTGGCTATATACATAATTTGAGATAAGCGTAAAATAATTCAAGAGCGGTTTGACCACAGAAAGCACTATACTATCTCAATTTGAATTTGTCACATTCTGAGGAAAACTGTGCGTGATTGCCTAATCTCACTTCTTGCATAAATGAATAGTGTTATCATATAATTGTTTCACAATTCGACTATCATTTATATATGCATTAAAACATTAAATGTTAAAATGCACCGTTTCAAGTGGTCCATTTTTCTTCAAAAGAGCTAATATTACAGTTCGTCCTCCAGTGTTCAGTCGCTGACTGGTACATGGCTTAAAGGGGGACTGTTCAGTGTAACACGTGCACGCACACACACGCACACACACATACACACTCAGACACACTCCGACACACACAGAGCACACTTCTCCCAGGCTACTGTCAGTATCTGGGCCAGAGGTTCCCAGACGCCTGTCCTTGGCTGACAGCGCCATTTACATCGGTGTCATGTGAAAGACTGCTCCAGGCACTTTTTCATTCACCAGCTAAGAGCACTGCCACCCCAGGGTGAGGTTGTGCGTGTGTGAGCGTGTGCACATGTGCATGAGTGATGGATGCATTTACGTTTTCTTTCACTGGGCAGGGGTGACAACATCATCTTTCAAACAAAGGATGTGTCATATACTGGACCACTGACAGCAAACATATAGTACAGTCCAGACAGGGGTGGGGGGGTGCCCACTGTTAATAGTCAGTCGTATCTATTGTCTAGTCACACACACACAAATCTGTACTAGAATAACCTTTTCACCAGTCTTGCAAAACAAACCCTTTTATTTTCCGTTCAGCAACAAATGATTTTCAGTTCCCGTTGCTACCGATTTCACAATCCGACTTTTTGGTTTTGAGAGACATTCTGCTGTTCTTCAGCTTCTTCCTGTTTTAATTCAACTTATGAACAACAGTTAGGGATTTAACAACACATTGTGCCACAACATACTGTGATGCAAATGTGATAAGATGCATGTGCGGATGGACATTCAATTAACTGCCCTCTAATGCAAATGCATTGTTCTAACACCAAAGATTACAATCAACTTAATCCACACCAGCACATTCAATGGCATACAACACACTCCTCTTACCACTCCAATATCATTAGTAGGTTGTACAGCGACATGGATACAGTCATCAACTCTTTCCATTCAAACTTTGTTCAAAACACTGTGAAAACAACAAATCACGAACCGAATATTGTGAAATAGACCAAATCGTGATCTGAGTATATCTGACAACAGAACAGTGACTGTAGTCTAAAATGAGGACAGCCAATGAGTGACAAAACATAAAATCTTGTCACAAAATCCTGAAGCCAGAGTTATCCCAGGTAAATTTACAGACAAAAAATATGCAGATTCTATAAAGCTGTGGGTCACATTTAATGGCTACAGAGAGTCTGTAAAGCTTTGGTCACATCTAAGCTATTACAAAGATACTGAAACTCTGAAAACACCTGTCTTACCCATAGCCTTTGTCAGGTCATCAGATAAATGGGTATTCTACCTGTGCAGATAGGCATAGCCTAATAGGGGGAGAAGGGTAGACTTTTCTGGAAGTGCCTCGGTTTCCATTTCCTGGCCCATCTACAATAACAAGATCTGACAACCAACTGATGCTCTCCTAACGTACGAAGACATTTCTGCATGCTTACTGCAATATCTTGTTTTTGTTTTTAACACAGTAGCTGAACTGAAGAGCAGATCAACCTGATTACTGAGCGCCTGTCTGGTCACTGTCCAATGCAGTCATTCATGGGATGACTACAAAAAAATAAACAAATATGACTAAGGTTTGAGTAATACATACAAAAAATCCACAAAATCTTAACATGCGGACTTAAAAGACCTCCTGTTCTTTTAAAAACAAGTGCTGAAGTCGATTTTTACATAAAGTTGTGCCTAAAGTTAGGAAACTGTTGTGTCAGTAAAGGATGACAACTTGCAGTTACATAATTGTGTGCCAGTAATGTTACAATTTGTGATTTAAAACACCTGATCATTACCAACACGTATACAGATGTACACAATGTTATTTTGGAATTCCAACAAAAATGATTGGTAAAATGTATAGAACCATAAGGCTGCATCTGCAGGTATTAGCAGTTAAGCAGTGAATGTACAAGAAGAAGATAGAGAGAGAGAGAGAGAGAGAGAGAGAGAGACAGAGAGAGAGAAAGAGGTGGAGGGAGAGGGAACTGGTGGGTGGCTGGATCTGTCTATAATTGCTCCCACTGGAGCTGCAGGTGAGGAGTGGTGACCTTTAAGCAGGCTAAAACATATAGCACACACACTCACTCACATCATATGTCACAAATTCACACACACAATTTACTGGACCCACAGACTGACATGGATTTTCTTAAATGTACACCGTGGAATATGCTAAATCTTCACATCATAATTTTAAGCCTTTAATTCATTTGCAAGCCATTAGTGAGATCTCTAAGAGCTCAACAACCAATTCCAATCTTAACCATGTACTCAATGAAAGGAACAACTATCGACCGCCGAACCATACAGGATTCAAATTATCTTTGAATGAATGACCAAAATAAAGCACACCTCTTCTTGATCATAACAGACAATAGTGGGTTTCCCATCCACCTTTTTTGTAAATTTTAAAAATGTGCAAAAAAAAAACCTGAATGTAAAAAAACACAAAATTCACAAAACACCCAAATATCGCAAAATGAGTTTTACGCTAAGACAAAGAGGAAAAGTTAGAATATCGCTAAAGCCGAAATGTGAAAAAACGTGATAGAAAAGGGTTTTTCGAACAAACAATGAAGCATCATACTGTAAGTGAGAAATGAGTGGCTCTACAGATGGTCCTATCGTGGCACATACCCATCCGAAGGTTTCTTTTGCCATTCTAAAATGCCTAATCAATGCTAGTTTAAAAAATGGCTCTGCACAGTGTGCTCCCAGAATCGTCTGGTGTGTTTGCGTTCCCAGATGCAAGATAGATGTCGTCGGGGTGGCAAGGAGATTTCAGCCATCATTAGGTGGGCCATTGCTCACGCAGGCTCTGTCTCTGGGTTGCAAACAATCATAAAAAGATGGCAAATAGCTGTAAAGATAATTCTACTTACAGCAAAAAACGAGTTAAATCTCTCCATCATGTTCGTTTCTATGCAGCCCCTAATCACGGTAGCCTATGTCATCTGAAGTTCCTTTGCATAACTGTAGAGGATGAAAACACAAATGAATTCGCTTTTTTTACTGCCAGAAGTCAGTTATTTGGGAGCCAGTAATTATGAATTCTGATTGAAATGCATTTCTTTCCACTTAGAAAAACTTGTCCAAGTTTCTAACTGGCAATATTAACTTCTGTGAGTTTGAGGTTGTATTTTTATGTTTTGAGTACGATTCTGCCATGCAGTAGTTGCTATGCATATTAAAGATGTTGTGCTTGGAATTTGAATGAAAGAAAACTGCAATGCAGCTCAGTGAGACTATACCATCATTAACCATGAAGCTCAGAGTTCATGAAAGCCTGACTGGTTTTGGAGATCTTTTGTCTTGGAGCAATGGGGGCTGCAGCTCCACAGACCCCCCGTCCACACACACACACACACACACACACACACACACACACTCTCCATAGCATTAGTTCCCCTCACATTATGCAGGGCTAATCTGTGCCAGAGGCTAGCCCGACTCTGCTCTGAGAGAACGCCACTGAGCACGCTCTCTGGCTCCCAGACAGAGCCGCTGTCATGTGGAGCGACCTTCGAGAGCTCTGGAATTATCACAGCAGGGCCTACACACCGAGACACACATACACAAACACACACACACACAGAAAGACCCATACATGAGCCTACACAGGCCTATACACACGCACACAGACTAGGTCCACAGTTTTTGCTGGACTGATGGGGAAAAGAGCATGAGCCAGAGCATGAGCGACCATGAGCCAC